GAGAGAAGAAAGGAAGAATTCCAATCAATAGGGCAAGTGTCATCCACGATGTCTGTTTCTGATTTTCTAATGGCATTTTTTTTTCTGCTTCTTGGTTTCCATCCGTAGTTTCTTTATTCCCCAGCGAACCCACTTCCCCTCCCTGCCTGAGGCACCTGAGGGAGACTCGGAGTTGGTGGTATTATTATTATTGGTGATCCTGCTCATATTCATCTGAAACCAAGCATCATTATTCACCAGGCACTCAATGGACCTCGCCAATTCAACCATCCTCAATTCCCACCCCCCTCCTCCTCCTCCTGCTATCCGGCTCTCCAGTAACTGCCCAGTATCATCTATGTAGGAAGCAGTCCTGACTACTAATTCCCCATCAACATGCGGTCCAATTGAATGGCCTAGCAGGGTGACGTGCATTCGCGCGACGTGCATCGTAGTACATCAGGCACCTGGCACCTGGTATTTGGCAACGGCTAAATGTACTCCGTCCTGCTTGCAACCCCCATTCTGGGTGGGCCAGTGCCTCCGACCAGACAGTCGATGTATTATTATTGAAGGCGAGGAGGGCTCAATCCTTCTTTGTATGAACCTCAATCCTCGGTACGCGGACCGGCCTGTTACTCGACGCCTCCAGGATGCCAACAGCCCCCGACGCCGCCGCCGTCCTGGTTCCTGCCACTAAGAAGCCGGCCTGCGTTCATTGTTCTTCCCCTTTTTTTTCTGCCCCGCGTTTCCCGTGCTCCTGTCCGGGAGAGTTTCAACCTTCGAATGTCTCGGTCCTTGGTCCGGCCAAATGCGTCTGGCTGGCGGCACGTGTGGCCGACGCCTCCAGTCAGCGTTCAATGAAATTCAGGCCTTGCCTTGGCCCACCTTCCCAGACACCATCGGAAACCCGTTTCTTCACGGCGGCGGTTTGTCTTGGATGATTGATCATGACTGGCATGAATCGTCGTCTGGGGCCTCTCCCTAGCAACTCCTTTTCCGTGATAAGGGCAGCGTGTTTCACTCACGGGGCATGTATTTATGGAGTAGTCTCATTCCCACCCCTATTGACTCTGGCAGTGCTGGAATACAGGCAGTGAGGCACATCTTTCATACTTCGTATATCCAGCCGGTCATTGTAGTTGCCGTCCAGGTTATCACGCACTTTTCATTCCGAACAATTCAAAGTCTGACTCAACTAGTTGGCGAGCTAACTAGTACGGGATAGATTGGAGAATTCTGTCACATCATTTGGGGAGAGACACCATCACGTCGCTCCTCCAAGGTCCTGCTACTTATCCCCCCACCCCCCCGAGCGAGTCATACAATGTGGGCGCTCACCCTAAGATTCAATACGCTATAGTCCTGCCTATAGGGCCTCGAACTATGGCAGAGATGGCCCGAAGGCCCAGAACCCAACTCCGGGAGGGATCATAACTAGGAGCATCGGCATCGATTGATGTGAAGTCCTCTGCGGCCATGCTTGACGAGTCAATGTGATTGGCTAACACTGTATCTGCCTGATTGAGTATCTTACAAGTCCATCGGAAGACCTGCGTGATCAACACGCCTTAGAGTCGCTCCCAGGCCTGTATTGGGGACCAAGACAAGAACCCTGGAGTATCGGAAGCATCCATCGACTCGGATGAAGCCGTCGGTTCGATTGTCAAGGCTAGCATGCAAGCAAGCCAACGCGATCAGCCACCGAGGTCATATTGCTGCAGATGCGCGGCAGCTGAGCGAAACATATGCTTATGATGTAGTAGGTATGCAGAAAACTGCAGATAGATGGCTTGTAGCTAAATATATTATATTGACATACGGAGCATGTCTTTGTAGTAATAGGACTGGCTGGGGCACATCAACGGTAGTATAGCGCCGCGTCTGGCAATATACATCTCGAGTGTTGTCCAGAAAGATACACACCTCTACAGATAGACTGAATCCATCTACCGGCGTCCTCGCCACCTGGAGTTAGGTTATAAAATGTTTGTGGTGCGCCAACAACAAATTCATGGCTGACATGCTGATCCAAGCCACTGGCAGCATGATGACGACGGGCAAGCCCATCGTGTGATTTAGGTGCATTCCCAAAGGGTGCAGGGGGTCCGAGTGCCATCCATGTTGAACTGGCCATGCCCCACCAAGACCTCCTGGACTGCGCCAGGCGACACGGAGTATTTATCCAGCTTTATTACTGCAACGAAGGGTCGACCGTGACAGATGCCGGAAGTTCTTCCTACATATTCCAGACGGATTGAAAGACATCTCCGACCTTGTGACGCACTATTCAAGGGAGCCCGAGAGGGATGGCTCTACAATCACACGATGTGCATTTTTTTCAAGCGATACACCGTATGAATCTGAATTCCTTCCCCCTCCTGCCTGGCCATGGACAACAGCCGTCATGATGGGGATGTTGTTGCTGCTGCTGCTAATTACGGCGTAGAATTCCAAGACAATCACTGATGAAGGTGAGATGTGTACGGAGTACCCGCAAGGAGTGGCCGACCACCGCACGCTAGGCCGCTTCTGATGAATTAGTAGCATACCAGTGCTAATTTAATCCCCACGAGGCCCGATGATTCTCTTGACTCTGTCCGGTTTCCGCCTGGTGAAAAGAGATTCGTTATCAGGATGAAGTATTTAGTGATACCATCATCATCCAAGGAAACCCAACTTGTAGTCCGGAGCAACCCTCGCGATAATTGACCCCCCGACGCTATCTGGTAGGTACAGTATCATATCTGAAGTCCATACTGGTATCATACCTGTATCCTTTCCTTGTCAATAGTGGTACGATACATACTACTTATGTTTCTCTGCTACCTGGGGGATAGCCAGCGACCTCCTATTCGACAGCCTATCATAACACCTCCAAGGGGTATGGTCCAAATCAAGATTTCGGGGTGAGCCATATGGTGATACATTCGCGGATTTGAGCGTTGTGACCATTGGAGTGAGGATTAGTCGTACCTGCCCACCAAGACTGATGAGGGTGGGACAGCCATCTCTTCAAAAAAGGTTGACGGGCCGACGCTAACAGAGGCATACGATGGCAAGGTCGGTGCCCAGTGCTCCAAATTTCCGGCTACCGGCTACGAGGTGGGACGCAAGGCGTGCATCCGACCCTACAATAGCGAGTCTGTGAAGAGTCAAGAAAAGACACAGTACTCAGTCAAGTTTTGAGACTTGAGGGAGTTTTCTTGGAAGGAGTGTCCGATTGTTACCTGATCCATTTTCCTTGTGAAATTGATGCTGTCAGACCGTCGCCTGCAAGGTAGACGGGTATCGAGATTGTAAAGACGGTATATGATACCGGGAGTACATTGACCATACAAGTGGGACCCCTAACATTACCACATGGATTCCTACCTGTCAATAGAAGCACAATCGATTCTATTGATAGCCAAGGCAGAGGAGACGAAGTGCAATAAGTGAATCATCCATAACCCGTTGAATGGTACCCTCTGCTAATGAATTCCTTCAACTTTCCTCCAGCATTGGGAGCCCATCTAGATATCGATTGAGTCAGGTAAACAGACACCAATGAGAGGGGTAGGTCAAGGGCCAAAAAAAAACCTAAGAGGGTACGAGGCTAAGGAAAAGAAAAAAGGAAAAAAAGAAAAAAGGACCCTCGGACCGGGAGGAACCTAGCAATTCAACAACCCGAATCTCCATTGCCAACCAGAACAATGCAAATCCATCCGGTGCCCACCCTTTTTTTTCAATCCTTTCCTAAATGGTATGCGGACTGACGGGTTGTGTGCGTGTGCGGGTGGACTACTTGGGAAAGATAATGTGAGAGAGAAAGAGAAGGAGTGTGTGTGAGAGAGCCTGGTGTGCGCTCTCTACCAACTATCTACTTCTTAGGTAACTACCAAGGTGGACTCGATTCGATTCATTTTTAACTTTCCTGTTTAATCTTTCTGACTGACTAGTAGATAGCATCTAGCTATCTCCTGCCTTCGCTCTGGTGGTGGTGGTGGTGTCCTGTGTCCATCCCGGAGTCAGTGGTTGATTAGTGATTAGTTCTGGAGTAAATGAGTTAGTACTTAGTAGTGATTAATTATTTCCATTATTATTATTTAGCAGCTTTTTTGGCTGCCTCTGAATCTGCGTTTCTTATCCCCGGGCCAAAAAAAATCATAATCCACGCTTCTCGCTTCCCTCGCCCCTCTCCTCTCTCTCTCGCTCGCTCGCTCGCTCGCTCGCGCTCTCTCTAGTCTCTCGGTGTCTCTCCTCTTTCTCTCAGGCTCCCCCTCTCCCACCCCCGGTCCTCAATCTCCCTCGACGTTGCACCTCTGCTACCCGACCTCCTCCTCCCTCTTCCTCAACCTTTCTTCTTCCCTCCTTCTCCCCCTTCCCTGTCTTATTTCCCGCACCACCCCCACGCCTTCTCCAACCCTTTTTAATCCCTCACGCCAGACTTTTTCCATCTGTCGTGCCTCAAGGGTGAGAAGTCGTCTGTCCATTTCCCGTTCTGCCTCGTTCGCTCGTGGTAGAACCGCCCGGAATTTTTAATTCGGAGGACGCTCTTTTGCTTTGGTAAGTCTATAATTTTGCTGCTGTTCCGAAGCATTGTTTTTCTGGCCGCCCTCGACCATGAGCACCACCACCACTCGCAAAGGAATTCACAAACCCACGAGAACGCATCTCATCGGTTCTTCGGTTTCATCGGCCCGTCTTGCTCTCAGTCCAAGTTGATGCCTCGGATAAATAAATTTGTTGTGACCGTTTCCCATTACTGCGACGTGAGGAAACCGAAGAGGAAAGGGGACCCAAAAAAGTTTGATACCAAAAGAGTCAAATTCGGGGAATCTAATAATAAGTCCGATCGATGTCATCGCTGGTCGCCATCCGCCGTCTTTTCACTCCTGTGCCCTGACTCGGACACTTGGCCCGTTTATTTTCGGCCTCCACTTCGCTTCGTCCGCCTTTTACTTTTTGTCAATGCCTTCTGATTTGATTATGCTATCGGCCTAAGAACGTATGCTTATCCATCAAATCCCAACAGGCCTCTCCTGATTGCCTCCGAGCGGATCAAACCTCCTTCCCGCAACACCTGTCCGTCCGTCCGTCCGTCCTTCTACCTCGATTTCTTTCGGTAGCCATGGCATACTACGAGCCTCAGGGTTGGCAGGCGCCCTCTACGCGCCAGGCATCTTGGGAGCAACCAGCTCCCCCGTCGCGCTCAGGTATGGATAATTGACATAGGAATGGCGTGCATGGATCGGGTACTGGATACTTACGAGGACTTTGCTAGGATCGAGCTCCGTTTCTCAACGCGAAGAGGTGCCGGCCTTTTCTTCTCAGTTCGATGGTATGAACAATCATTCCTTTGGTTATTTGGTCTCCCTCGGTTGTGTGAACTTTCGGTTGTGCACCAGCACATACTTTGTTAGCCGTGCCGGGATTCGCGACCCATCATTCGTCTTGTAGAAGAAGGGTTAGCTGGGTGCTAACGTCAATCAGAGGTCGACCGTGCTATTGACAACTTGGTCAAGAGTGGGAAGCTGTGGGCTGCACCCCGGAGGGACTCGATGCCTATGATGATGGGCCGTCCCTACCCCGAATATGGTATGATACTACAAGTTCGTCTGGTTGGAACGCGATCCATTCTAAACGGTTGTAGCAGATCCCCGTGTGGTCAACACGATGACACAGCGTCATCACTCGATCAGCGAGTTCGACTCTCGGATGCACCCGACTCCCAACGTTCAGGGCTTCTATGCCTCGCAGCGATTCCAGGGTCGCCCCAATGAAGTAGAACAGATGATGCAAGCGAAGCGTCGGATGGCGGCACAGCGTGAGAGGGAGCTCCGCAACTATCACCAGGAGCAACAGTACAACCGAAGTACGTGGTAGCATCTGTCTTTGGAGCCTTTTCCGCACCTGCTTCTTTCTTTCTTCCCCGATATTCCCCATACATCTTTTTGCCCATATGTATTCGTTGGCTTGTATATTACGTTGGGATCCGATTCCCGCTTCGAACATGGTTTTAATTCTCTTTGTCTTCTCAAAGGCCTGCTTGCCGAAATGTCTGGAAACAAGTCCGATCGCTCGCTCAGCCCGGCCGCCATGAGCGAGGAAAGCCGCCGCGAGCTTCTCGCTCGTCAGCATAGGGCTCTGTACGGCAACGACAGCCCCGCGTTCTTCCCTCCCGCCGGTCTCGCCGATGACGGCACCCGCTCCGAAAGCCAGGCAGGTGGCACTCCGACCTCGACAACCGGTGTTCGTGGCCCTTCTCCGCGCAGCGTTGATCCGTTCGGTCTCGCGCAGACCCCTGTCCAGGGCAGTGCCGACGGCGTTGCCCAGGCTGCTGCCGGCGCCGCCTCACTGCAGTCGCCTTCTCGCGCCAACAGCGCCTCCTCTCCCAGCTCCGCCATCAATCCCGTCTTCGGCAAATATGACAGTGCGGATCAGCCCGTGACCTCGACGTCGTCCCCCGGTGGTGCCGATTCGCCTTCCTCGAGACAGGGACCCTCCAAGTCGATGGCGGGGCCAATTGGCTCTGTTGGGCCGATTGGAACTCGTCCCCTTCCGCAGGCCGGTGCTGGTCAGGCTTCCAACCCGGCGCTGAACAAGCGCTCCACGACCCCTCTGCCGTCTCCCTTGGGATTTGGCTTTACTCCGGGTGATGCCGCTGGTCCCGATCGCTCCGGTTCATCCGTGTCCAACCCTCCTACTGCTTCGGCTGCAACTGGCGTCAAGGATACCTCCGGTGGAGTTGGACTTGGCTGGGGCAACAGCAGCGGCGTCTGGGGATCGAAGAACGGTCTCGGAGTCCAGGCGTCGGTCTGGGGTTGAACGACCGCGGGCGGATAATCGACTACCACACATCATTTGTTTGGCATGTGTTCGCTTCTGTGCAGTGGCGTTCTAAGAGGGGGTTTCGTTTTTGATACTACTGGGAAAAGAGCATGGTACATATTCGGAAGAGGTGGTGCAAGAATCCGTCTTTTGTTTTGTCTAGCGCTCCGTCACATGTGGACTGTTAATTTGGTACATGGTTGGTTTTACTGACTGGGGAACTTGGTTGGCCTGTTGGTTTCTGGAGTCGGTATTCCCCTTTTGGTGTGCTTTGTGTGCTTGCATTCGTGGTTTCTTCCCCCTCTGCTTCTTATTTTATGATTTCTTTCTCGTCGGTCCTGCATTCGTTCCACACTGCTTTTCCATCTTCTGTCACGACCATCCACGACCCGTCGGGGTTGGGGATTGTATTTACCTTGGAGGAGTGTACGTCTCGGGCTCTTGTTTCCCACTCGTTCCGGGGGGTTCAGGTGTTATTCTATCATCGTTCGGGTCTGGTTGCGAGTTTGGCCGAAGCATGCGGGTTTCAGTTCAGCAACGGGGTTTCTTTCATGGGTACGAAAAGGTTGTTTTCTACAGGTTCTAGTTCTGGGGACATTGGCAAAAGGAACAGCGGGGATGCCGGCAAATCATCAAAAGAGTTATCGGAGTCTGATCTGCTGAGGTTCTGGTCTGTCATGTTTATTCAAATAGGTTCTTGGTCATGCGATATATTTCACTTCTTTCCGTCTATCTCCCTCTCTCTCTCTGTGCCCTCCTGTAAATCCATCGTCTCATCCTATGGTGTCCAATTCACGCCAGGTACTTCCCAAAGAACTCCACCAACTTGGGGCCCGACTCGTCTAACGTATCATACAGATCGAAATGGTTCTTCCCCGGCACGACAAACAACTCCTTGGGCTCCCGGGCCAGCCGCACCGCCTCGCGACTATAATGCAGCGTCTCCGCCTCCGAGCCCGCAATCATCAGCAACGGCCGCGGCGCAATCAAATGCTGAAAATTAAACGAATCATACGCCACCATCCGATCATAACTCGACAGCGGCACCCTCTGCGTCGACCGCTCATGTCTCCCCCTCTCCGTCCCATAATACTGCGCCGCCGCACGAAAGAACGGGTCCGCATCATCGGCCACATTCTGCGCATCAAACATGCGCGGCGCCTCCATCCCCGATCCCCCCCGGGCCATCTCATCCCTCCTCCCCTCCGCCGCCACCATCAACGCCCCGGAAATCGCCTCCGCATTCTCCCTCAAATGCTCATGCACCCCTCCGCACCGGGTCATCCGGCCCACACACGCCCCCGACACCGTCGCCAACGCTCGAATCCGTCCATCACTCGCCGTCGCGTACGACGCATATCCCCCCGAGGCGCAAATCCCCACGACCCCGATCTTAGTACTATCCACTACACCGGTCAAGGTGGACAGATACGTCACGGCGGACTTGATGTCCTCGACGCGTTGGAGCGGGTCTTCGAGCCCGCGCGGCTCGCCGGTACTTTCGCCTTGGTAGGCGGCGTCGAAGGTTAGGGTGATGAAGCCTGCGTTGCGGAGGTAGGTGGCGTAGGTGGTGGAGGTTTGCTCTTTCACGCCTGTCATGGGGTGGCTGATTATGATGGCGGCGTTGTTGCGGGTCGGGGCGGAGGGGGGAGGGTGGTAGAGGTGGGCGGCGATTTGGTGGACCGAGGAGGGGAAGGTGATGGTTTGGGGTGGGGATGTCATGATTGTTTGATTTTTTTACTTCAAGAGAAGAAAAATAGAGAGTTGGGCTGATATTGAGGAATGGTATTGTTGTCTGATCAAGTTGCGATGCTGTGTTCTATCCATTGTAATCACCCTTCTACTCATCGGTTTATATATACATGGGTGGTTTCGCGGCTTCGGGCTTTGACGTCGGAGACTCCGAAGATTTTCGGGAATCGGTCGGTCCACACCTTGGATCGGGGCGGGGGGGGGGGGGTTATCAACGGGTTTAGGAGTTAGGGAATTGGATTGGAGTTGAATTATGAACTTGTTGGGTTTTGATTCAATTATTTAATTATATATATATTTTTTTTGGTGTGGGGGATTAGCTGTGTGAGAGGGTGTATATGCTAAGGATCTGAAGTGAGATGTAGGAGGCTCGGCATTGCTTCAATTGCTATTTATGAGGTGGGTAGGATAGTGCAGGGCTGTTTGAGAGGAAGTTAATGGCTATTGTGAATCTTTTGGGCATTATGCACTGAGTTGTATGATGGGGTCACTGCTGGAAAATAGGTCTTCAGTGGGTGAGAGTCGTGAATAATTTTATGTGTAGGGGACTGTCTGGGAATGGGGAGCTTTGGTCTACATGATATATCTGGTGTGAAGATAGTATTTGGATAATGTGATCTAGCAGAATATTGTGAAGAATTTCTGGGGTATTCAAAAGTTCTAGATATATATCTTGCGTAACCATAAACCCCAGGTGAAGTGATCATGAACTCGTGGCATTGTCTCTAGTAGTCTGTCTAAACTGTATAGAAATTCGCTGATAGGACGCCAGCATCCCTAAGCTGCACTGGCATGCGGTAGCATGGGGTCATGCTCGGAATAAGTCGTTGATACGGAGTCACTGCGACCCCGGCCAGCGGTGGTCTCGAGCTTTCTCCGTGCCGTAAACAATCCTGACACGCCGCGTTCCTGGTTCCGCCCTAGCCAGGGCTTGCGCGCATCTCCCAGCACACGCCGTCCCAGGTAGTAGATGAGCTGACCGATGATAATAAGCATGAAGGCGATCGGATACATCCAGTGGATCGTGTAATGGAAGACCCCAACGCCAATGAGCACGCCCCAGAAGTTCATGGTCAGCATCGAGATGTTGAAAAATGCAGCCGACGACAGCCGAAACAGTAGCGGTACCATGCAATAGAAAAAGGCAAGGCAGAGTGTATATCCCGTCAGGTAGACGCCAACCTGGCTATTCCACGTCGCAGTCTGGAACGAGCTGCGGTCGAAGATACCCGCCTGGATGCCGTTGATAACCATGCCGTACATGGCCATTTGGCCTAGGACTTCGTACACAGGGGCAGTGCTGACGAAAAATTCCTCGCCGGTGTTGGCCAGGCCGTAAAAGGTCGCGCCTAGGAGCGCGAAGAAGTCTCCTTTGATCTGGTCCCCACTGGAATAGTTCCCATCATCGGCACCGGTGATATGATCCGAGGCGATCAAGACCCCCATTCCGCTAATGCAGATCAGGATACCGAGCACCTGGGTGCTATGATAGCGCACCCGCAAAAATGTGAAGGACACGATGACGACAACCGCAATGGCCCAGAAGTTGATCAACTGGGCGCTCAGCATGGTTGTATAACGGTACGCCAGCACAATGAAGTAATTGCCTTCCACGTCGCAGAAGGACAGGAAGATGTCTATCGAGATCCGTCATCAGAGATCCGAACGGGACAATGTGGACGGCGGCATGCACGACGACACTTACATTTCCAACCATGGTTCAGCACCATCTGAGCCCAGCCCCTGATGCCATAACGGTATATAGTATACGACGTGAAGATAATATTGAGCAACAAATAGTTGAAGAAGGTCTGGAAAGCCGGGATTGAAGTTCCCTCGCGGACTAGAAGGGTGCTGAATGTGCTACACGCGGTGTTGGCGATGGCCAGAACCTGCCTATCTAACAAGTCAATGACCATGGATCGCATCATTGAAGTTAAAGCGTTAAGGGCTGCAGCACCCACCCAAGAAGTAGGGTAATATAAAATTCTTTCGTCGTTAGGTAGGCCAGGAAGCCGTCTTGCTTCTCCAGGAGGTCCGCGGGCGGTTCTTGCAAAGAATCTGCGCTCTGGTGAGAATCATCTCCCATGATCGGAGCATCCTGCTTCGGAGATTGAGGTACAGGAGGGTTGCTGGCGGTATCTGGATACGATTTCGGAGCGGCAACCCGGGCCGTGGTATTCGACATCTTTGATAAGCGACCTAGAAGAGAGTTCTGAGCGACCCGACTATGGTCGGAACGATACGTCACTAATTTGGAGGTGAGAAGATGAGCGGGGAGCTTTACAGGCTAGACGAGCGCAAAACCCCCAGAAGTCGCTCGTCTATGGTGTTGAGACGATCTGAAGACAGGAAAAAGATCGGCAGAAGCCGAGGTCAGGCGGGACCTGCCTTAGGTAAGACATCCCCGGCGATGGGTCAAGGCTAAGTGGGGATCCTCCGGTTTCTAGTCTTTGCATTTGATGCGAGGAGAACAGGAAGAACCTGGCAACTTGATATGGTCATGAAGCCTGTCATGGATTTGTTTCCCTGGCATCCCTGGCAATTTTCCGAGCTTTTCTTCTCAAACTTCTTTAGGATAGCCTTGCCCTTCCATACAACCCAGCGAGACAGCCAGACAAGCCCTCGACGATGATGTTGAATCCGGAGGTACAGGTACACAATTCCAGCATGTCGGCGAGTCGATAGTGCTACAACTATCCCATACATTATTGGTTGTATAGAGTTTTAGGTTGTCTGAAGACTCATCGCTGAGCGCCAAACCCTCGAGCAGTCTGGTAGCTTCTCTTGAGAGATGCATAAGAGTCTAAGTACATTATCAGTGTGCCTTTAATCACAGAACCTAACGCTCAAAATAAGCTTGCATACTAGGCAACCACTAACTCCATAGGACCGAGCAGCGATGGTAGGGTCTGAGCTGCTAGCTCCAAGTACTTATTTTGCTATACAAGGTAGATAAATCTCCCTAGGGGGCTCGGCTGTGAGATGCATGCCGCTCTGAAGGATTAGGTTAAAAAATGCCAGGCCATCAAAAGTCCCTAAATGAGACGCAGCATTGCGGGGCTACTCATTCACACTGTGTACATACGGAGTAGTATCTAGGTCTCCAATGATCTTGGAATACCTGCGGGGTAGAGTCCTACTCAGTACTAGCAATCAAGAGCAACAGTGGACTGTCACGTGACATACGAGGCCGGAGGATGAGTACTGAGGAGGTACGGAGTAGGTACGAACTAGGTACGGAGTACTTCAATAATAATGAATCCCTGTCACCCAAGAATACGGATCCCGCAAAAGCGCAGGGGGTTCGCGTCGCACAGATCAGGCAGGATTGGGGTTGGTTCGCAAGGTCGATGCCTAACCCGGAGATACACCAGGTTACCCGCTTCCTGAGGTCTTTGGTACTAGATGCTATGTACTCCGTATATGCAGATCAATAGACGGATTATTAGACGAGATAGGTTATTGTCTCGTCTGATGTTACTCTGTACAGCATGGTCGAATGCATCTTCGAGCATGGGGAATATCCACATGGGGGTCCCAGGGATCCAGAGACGTGGAGCCTGGGAATGGAGTATTATTAGCAACCTCCCAAGCCTCGGGGTAGGACCATGAAATTCTGAACGATTGAAGGATTGACGGATGGCCTCAAAGTCCGAGTGGGCCAGACTTTTGACATCGTCCCTAGTCCATTGCAATTAACCTTCAAGGACCGTAGTTGACACCCACCAACCTTACTTTAACCTTGAAAAAGGTTATTTCTCGACTCCGACCTGAGGTCGATGCTTTCATACTCCGTAGTAGTTTCAGTAGTGTTCCCGAAGCAGCTCTGCGGGCGCACGTCATTTGCATACCCTGGTTGGTTCCGACTGATGCTGGTTCCCTTCGGTCGCTTCCCTGCAGATCCCCGTATCGCGTCCGCCGGCTCTCCTTGATGAAGAACATGCTCCATAAGCGGGTGGTGGGTGTATCATAAACCCATGACAGAGGCTCATTCGCTTGCCTGGTCCGACTGATTCAGGATCTTCGGACTTGTTGACTGGAGGATCTCCATTCACGCCCGATCTCGTCGAAAGTGCTATTATTATTCCCCGCGTCCAACCTACCGCCCGACCGACCGACCGACCGAATACCTTACCTGCCTCTATACTAGTATTACTGCGACCAAGTCGTCTCAGCGGTTTTTGTGTTTCTGTCCTCCGGTCGCGTGTGCTGGTCGGATCCTGTAGGGCGCCGGTCCCAAACGCAATAGACGGAACCACCTCCCAAGACTACTTAGCTCAACCAGGAGGAAGAAAAGAAAAGCACAGCGCCGACCACTGCCGAGGCCGTCAGGTGGTCCTGGCCCCAAAGTCAGGATCGACTTTCATCATCCGCGCAGCAAAGCAGAGCCAAAGCAGCGAGCAGCAGAGTACCTCCATCCACCATTGTTCTTCCCACCCAACAACCGAACTTTGCCCTTCCCCCCCCCCCCATCGTCATCTTCGGCCTTTCCCATTCTTTTTACATCATCTTCCCATCGAGGCCCCCTCCCTTTCCATTTTCCCTCTTTATTTAATAATTATCCTTTCCCTTTGTTCCCCACTTCTGCCCTTTCCGCCCCCTCGTCCAATCTGGACCAGGCAGCGGACCGTCTTATCATTCCGCCTTCTTCGGGGCTCTCCTCGCGCCGGTGCGCTCGTTCCTGAGTTGTCCCGGAGTGACGAGACGCCACCTCTCCGTTCAGCCGGACCATGGCGTTGGAGGTGCAACCGCCCAGCGATCGCAAGCGGGTGAAAGTTTACGAACTTAGAGATAATGACTGGTTTGATCGGGGAACGGGGTTTTGTACGGGACAGATACTTGACGTGAGTGATGGTCGCCACCGTGTGTCCGCAGCGCGAATTGCGTCGCCGCTCGTCGGGCGCAAACGCTGCGACATTCAGGCGCGCCCTTCTCAAACCGGCTTGTTGTCGCTAACACACCTTTTCCGTCGTTAGGATGAGCCGCGGATATTCGTCGAGTCGGAAGATGAGCCCAATCGGGTGCTCCTGGAGACGAAAATCTCCAAGGATGACGGCTATCAGAAACAACAAGGTCCGCCCCTTACGCTCTCCTCTGCATCGCACGCATCGAACTAGACCCCAGAAGATGTGCTAACGCTTCTGCGACATGACCAGAAACCTTGATCGTATGGACGGAGCCAAATGGGACGGACATGGCGCTAAGTTTCCAGGAAGCGGAAGGGTGCGCTGTGATCTGGTAAGGCAAATAGGGAGCGGTGCATATGTGGTCAATTGCTGACGGCGATGAAGGAATTTTGTCAACAATGTCCAACAGCATCTTCTGAGTATGGCTCCAGGAGGTCGGTGTTCCCTATCGTCTGTTTTCAAATCCCTTTGCTGACCCGATCACGTCCGGCTGTTCAGAAGACGCCCTGTCGGACGAGATTGAAAGTTATCAATCGATCATGTTGCCTCCACCCGAGCTCGGAAATCTGCCAGAGATAGACCATGTCATGCGGGCCGCGAGCATTACACAGGCCGGACGCGATGCGCTATCGAAATTCGTCATCCGAGAAGAATACATTCCCAAGCTTATTCCATTGGTCACGATGGCAGAGGATCTTGAAAGCCTTTCCGATCTACATCGCCTTTGCAATATCATGAAGTCGCTTATCCTTCTCAATGACAATACCATCATCGAGACCGTCGTTACCGATTCCATTATTCTCGGTGTGGTTGGGGCATTGGAATGTGTGTACTTGTTCTCTCTAAACCGACAGGTTTGCTGACGGAGTCTAGACGATCCTGAGTTTCCTACCCACAAAGCCAACCACCGACAATACCTCGCGGACAAGTCGCGCTACAAGGAAGTTGTGCCCATCAAGGATGCCTTAATTCGCCGCAAGATCAGCTACACCTGGCGCCTACAGTATCTCAAGGATGTGGTTCTAGCTCGAATCCTTGACGACCCGACATTCTCCGTTCTGAATTCCTTAATATTCTTCAATCAGGTCGAAATTGTCAACCATATCCAGGCCAACGCCCCATTCTTGAAGGAGTTATTTACAGTCTTCGACCCGAGAAGTGCGGACACCAAGCGCAAGGAAGATGCGGTCCAGTTCCTACACCAATGCGCTGTCATCGCAAAGAATTTGCAGGCGCCGGCGCGTGCCAATCTTTTTGCGAACTTTATTAGCCACGGTCTATTTGCTGTTATCGCTTTCGCCATCAAACACCCCAAACCGGCTTTGCGCACAACAGGAATCGATATCTTAGTAGCGCTTCTTGATCACGACCCCGTTATGATGCGTGGATATATGCTCAAAGCCGTCAACGAGAAGAAGACGCCCCTTACTGATACGCTTATTGACTTGCTGCATACAGAGTCGGACCTGGGAGTTAAGAATCAACTTGCAGATGCCGTCAAAGTCTTATTGGACCCTCAGATCCCTCTGCAGGATACCATGGGTCGGGCTGGACCCGAGCACTTCAACAAGCCGCGACCTAATATTCTTTCCGATGCATTTGTCCAAAACCATTTCGACGAATCTGCGCGGAGGCTATTTTGGCCCTTGAAACGGCTCGAACATGCTGACCACCGTAAGCTTCCCTTGCGTCGGAGACTCCCCTATCTGCCCTGCGGACGGAAACTGACCGCTGTACGATCTCCTAGTACGCGACTTGACGTTCCAACAAGTGGCATTATACTCTCACCTCGTGGATATCCTAACATTCTTTGTTCGTCAACATCTCTACCGAAGCCGGAATGTCATCCACAGCGAATCTCTCGCACCTCGAATCGCTCAGTTGCTCGCGGTACCCCATAAGCATCTCAAGCTGAGTGAGTCCTACGTGCATTCAATTCGTGATAAAGATAGCGGCTAACGTCATTGTCTCTCAGCTGCGTTGAGATTCTTCCGCGCTCTGACCAGTCTCCAAGATACTTTCTACCAAGCACTTATGACCCACAACAACATCTTTGGACTGATCCTCGATATTGTTTATGAGACGATGCCCCGTGATAATCTACTGAATTCAGCTTGCCTCGAACTTTTCGAAGCCATCCGATGCGACAATATGAAACCCTTTGTTCTACACGTCGTTGAGAAGTACGGCGAGAAGATCAAAAATATCACCTATGTGGAGACATTCCAGAGCTTGATACTTCGCTACGAGCAGATGCAGGGCTACGGTGGCGATCCGGATTCCACGCTTCTGTCACATGAGGAGGAAACGCCGTCTCGAAGGATGCAGGCCAACGGCCAGCGTTGGCAGGGCGTCAGGGAGATGGATGCCGCTGAGGAGGAGTACTTCAACACGTCCGATGATGAAGAGGTAGGGCACTTGCTTCAGGCGTGGTCTATCCGTGGACAAGGCTAACTATGGATCGCAGTGGCCGCAAGAGAGCCGGCAGAGCACCTCAGAGGCTGCCCAGGTGCAGAATGGCGCTGCATCGCCTGCCGTTAAACCTCTCGTTGATTACCCAGACGATGATGACGATGAAGAAGATGCAATGGATACCAGGCCGGAGCTCGGCGATGGCCAGGTGCAACAAACTCAGGAGGAGCCACAGCAAGATGGCTCAAATCACGACGATGCTTGCAGTTCTGGTGAGAATACACCGTCTACTCCGGTGTCTTTGACAGTCCAGACGCCTCCGGAGAGGTTGTCGGAGAAGCGTCGGCGGGAAGAGGAAGACGATGATGAGTTGATCAAGCTCACATCTGGACCGAAACGGAGAAGCTCGACAAGCGCAGGTCCCGGCAGTGCAGGGTTCCTGCGGAGGAAGCGAAGTGTGTCGATTGGCTCACTTGCCACCAATGACAAGGGTGCAACATTGGGAAGTCTCAATAGCAGCGCGGCGCCCAAAAGGATAGCCATTAACCTCAGCTCTACTTCAACTAGCACTGTCAGAAGCAAGGCGTCCGATACAGGCTCGACCCAATCAACAACAGACCATGCGAGCAATGAGAAGGAAAACCGGGACGATAACCACAGTGGTGGTGGATGATTGATGTCCACCAGGTCCTTGATTGATGCCTTTATGGCACGAGTTGAACAACCAGTTCTTTTTTTACTTTTGCTGCAAGCATCGTTTGCGTTCGTCAGAGTAACAGGGTCTTTGCCTGCTTGTTTTACGACAGCCTCCTAGATACCAGATGAAGTGATGTTTTTTTTTCCCCTCTTACCTTGTGAGCCGGACGTATTCTGATGTACGATCGATCCCTTTCGTTGTTCCTCTCCCCTTTGCACCTTCTCGATTCCATCTTTTTTTTCTTAGATATCATGTATTACGGAATTCGCTCTGCGTCGAGCCCTTCTTGTTTTGCTGTCATCGTCGCCCATCAGTCCGGCTGGCATTGATGTACATTTACTCGCATTCTTTGCTGTTTCTTTCTCTTCTTGTACTGCTGGCTTGTCCTGGAGTTACCAGTGCTGTTGCGTTTCTTTCACGCATGAGGGGGCGCTTTCACCGTACATTATGGACCACAGGGAGATTCTCTGACATGGATACTGCTATATTTTGCGCGTTATACTGACCAGTTGAATTTGGCATCGGGGATGATTCATGATACTGATGTGGCCCGAGCACCGAGTTGCCTTCATCGAGGAGCCCTGGATTGGAGTGGAGTCCGGATGGACGGACGAGGCCGGCTGGAGGACATGGAAAGACCGACGTGCACATATCTGTCGTCGCCTTATAATCTGACTTCTGGCCTCTTCGAACTCAAGCAAGTCGCTTTTGTACCGTGCGTAGTCCACCTAGTCAGCAGCCTGTAGATACTACATAGTATAGAATAGACGATCGGCATGCGGGTCCCTACCGTTTAGTCCATCGGGCCCTCCATCCCGGCAAGTCCCGCCGACGCCGACAATGGGCGCCCTGGGTCGGGCCAACTCAATATCTACATCCATCCCAAACGACCCAATCCTCGCTTGCAGCCACAGAGCCAAATGAGCCCAGCCATGTCCCCTGTCCTCCAACCCCATGTCACTCCAGACAGCTTCTTTCACACAACATCCCCGCAGCCGACATCCGCCAATTCGCCCCTAGCCCCGGTCCTAGTCTATTTTATATCGGGAAACCCGGGTCTCATCTCCTATTACCACCCCTTCCTCACCCTCCTGTCTGACAAGCTCCAATCCCTCAGCACCAACCAGGAGAGCCCTCATGCATTCCACATCCATGGCCACAGCCTAGCCGGCTTCGAAGTATTACCCCAAGACCCCCCACCCCCGGAGCACTACCACGACGTGGAAGAGCAGATCTGCTTCATCCAGAACCAACTCGACCACTTCGTGCAAGGCACGCACACCCCAACAGCGCCCAAACCACGCGTGATCATCATGGGCCATTCCGTGGGCACTTACATTGCCATGGAGGTGATCCGGAGACATCGTGAACGATCCTCCTCCGCTGCTCCCATCAACTTCGACATCATCGGCGGCGTCATGCTCTTCCCTACCGTGATGGACATTGCCAAATCCCCATCCGGAAAGCATTTGACTGTACGTATACCTCCCCCCTCCCTCTTCAATCTTTCATCTCCCGAAAGAGCATAGCATACATAACATATCTCCTCCCGTCCCTGACCGGTACAGACCCTCCTATCCTTCATCCCCCAACTAGCACTAATCGTGAGCATCTTCGCCCGGATCCTCACCACCCTTCTCCCGGACTTCGCTCTCCGTGCTCTCGTAAAAAGCTTCATGGGCTCTCCGCCCCCTCAAGCCATCGACACGACCTGCGCTTTTCTGAAGAGTAAGAAGGGCGTGAGACAGGCCTTGTACGTTATCCCCCCCCTACCCCACACCATGTTCCGTACCTATCCATCCATCCATCCATCCCATCCCTACTATCCTAGCCTAGCCCAGCACGCACGCACACATCCTAACATGAAGAGTAATAAATGAAAAAAAAAGACACATGGCCGCCGACGAAATGCGCACCATCACGGCCGACAAATGGGCCGATGAGGTATGGGGAATTTCCTCATCTGCAGAGGAGCCTCTCTCTCGCATGTTCTTCTATTTTGGGCGGAATGATCATTGGGTTGCGGAGCAGACGAGAGACGAGATTATGGAGGCTAAGGGGAAGGGCAAGGGGGAAGGGGGGCCGACGATGGTGGTTTGTGAGGATGGGCTGCCGCATGCGTTTTGTTTACGTGAGTACTCCGTATCTCAGTTTGGTTGTGATGATTCCTTTTGGTTTTGGTCCCTGGTGGTTTGGTGCGCTGGGTGCTGATTTTGGGGTGATGGGTGTACAGGCCATAGTGAGGTTACGGCGAGGAAGGTGGCCGGGATGGTGATGGATATTGTGGCTGGGTGAGTACTGGGTTGCATGGTTGGGATTACGGAGTATAGACTAGAGACTTCCGAGGTGACGGGTCTAGAGAATAATGGTGAAGATTGTATAGCTGTATGCTCATGGGTATCTCGTGACGAAGATCAACAGGGAAGAATCATGTCAAAGAGCCAGTAGCGCCGCACTACTGACCCCCCTGATACGCTAGCCCAGCCCTCCGAAACAGATCCCCCAACACATCCTGCTGTGGCGCCGGTGCTGCGCCTGCGCTAGGCATCCCCGCCGCCGGCGGTTGCTGCCACTCACCCGGTCCAAGCTGATGTGCCCGTACACTCCACTCATCATCCTGCGTCCGCTGCTGCCCAAAGAGGTCCTTGAGAGAGATCTGCCGACCCATCGGCACACTTGACTGCACCTCTTGCAGCGGAGGCGCGGTCACAGAGGCCGCGGTGGCGGCAGCAGCAGCAGCATGCAGTCCATTCTGATGCGTCGCTTCCAGTCGTTCGCGCGCCAATCTCATACTCTGTCCGGCGTGGGTAGCGCATTCGCGAATCATCTGCGCGTTGATGGTGCGTGTCTCGGCCGTCGAATTAGGCGGCGGCTCGGAATAGATCCAGAGACCGTAGATGCGGACGTTGGTGCTGTTATTTCCGGGCTTGCTAGCTTCATTGGTGCCGTTGCCCGCAGCACCACCGGTCTCTAGGTTGTCGGGATCGTAGTCGGATTTCAGGATGATGTATTCTTCGGTGATCTCGACGTTGTCGCCGTCGGTGAGGAGAAGATCGAAGTTATTCAGGCCCCGGCGGTTGAGAACGAATACGCAGTATCGCTCCTCACCTAGGGCGCCTTGTGTCAGTTGGCAGACGAATAGCGAGCCTTCGATGCCGTTCTTTTCCCATTGTCGGGAGGTTGGGCTGAAGATGTAGACGACGGAGTATTGGGCGAGGGAGAGGATGGAGGTGATGGAAGGGTTGTGGCGGCGGAGGACGGAAAGATTCAGCTCCTCGTTGGAGCGGAGAGGAGGGGGCATAGAGGGTTCTTGCTGATCGGGAAGTTGCTGGGTGTCGGAGAAGTAGTTCTGGAAGTCGGATTCGTAGTCGGAGGGTTGAGGAACACCTTGGCTGAGATGACGACGGTGGTGGTTGTTGTTGCTGTTATTGTTGTTGTTTTGTCGGCGGGGTTTGCGGCCTGTCATTGTGAGGGGAGTCTGATCGGAGGATGGGAGGAAGATGGCGAAGAGCAAGCAGAGGTGGGAGGGAGAAGCGAAGGGTGAAGAGTGACAGCAGCACTCGATGATGAAGTCGCAGCGCAGCTCCGTTCGGGAAGCGGTCGGGACCCCGCGCGGTCTGGACTCGACCTGCCAAAGCACCACCCCCTCCCCTCCTCTCCTCTCCTCTCCTGTGTTCTCTTCTCTTCATCCCCCTCGTGCAATCTAGATTGAACCTTCGATTGCATTCTTCGCCGAACCCGAGGTGACGTTGCAATTCGTGGTGTCCGGAACCTCTCGTCCGGGCGTCATCTCCACCGTCCCGGCCACCTGTGCATCATCCCCTCCCCTCCGTTGCATCCGATCGGCTTCTGGCACAGCAGTACCGTCTGCATCTCTTCTGCGCCCATTGTGAGGGCACAGCTCGGCAGCCACTGCTTTTCAATCTGCGACACCCTCTCCTCATGGTCGCAATCACCATACTTTGCTTCCTGACCGGTCTGATACCTTCCGCGCCGCGTGACTACTCCAGGTGAACTCTTAGCCGCCGGGTCATCCACCCCCCCGGTTGATATATACCATTGACATATATTGCTGGAAATCGCGCACCGTGCGGGAATCGTGCATCTGTCCAACATGGCTTCCGGTCCAACACAGTCCGCATCGCCGTCTCCTTACCCAGGCGATTCCGCTAGCAATAACGGGAGCTCTGCGGACGCCTCCGTCGACCCTTCTTCGCTTCCGCAGGCCGTCAAAGCAAGAAAGGCCGAATACACCCACCAGCAGACGATACACATCAAAGTTGGCACATGGAATGTGGCTGCCATTTCAGGCACCGAGGAGGACATTGGGAAGTGGTTTATACAACAGAACGGCGTATGCGAGCAAATATCCGGGCTGCGGGTCTCCGATACGCAGGAGGGAACCATTCCCAAAGACAAAGGGTCCGGGGAGAAAGAAACCCTATCCGAGATTGCGCCGGACAAGTTCGGTCTCTACGTGCTTGGGCTACAGGAGATCGTAGATGTCTCATCGCCCGCGGAGGCCTTGAGGCCCTACGTTGATCCGGCGCCGTCGAATCGGTGGAAAGCCGCGGTCCAGAAAGCCCTACCCCCGGGCTACCAACTCGTCGCGGAGACCCAGCTGGTGGGGTTGCTGCAACTGGTTTACGCCGCGCCCTTCCTTGTTGACCAGGTGTCGTTCGTGAGCTGTACCAGTGTGGGCACTGGTCTGTTGGGGTATATGGGCAACAAGGGTGCTGTTGCGACACGATTGATGCTTGGTGAAACGACGTGCCTGGTCTTCGTCAACTGTCACTTGGCGGCCGGATCCGACAAGAACAGTTTGGAACGGCGGAATTGGGATGCTTCGCAGATTCTCGGACGGACCAAATTTGAGCCCATCGATCCCAATGTTGCACTCCGAGAAGAGCCGACGGAGAGCATAGGGAAGGAGGACTTTGCCTTCTGGTTTGGAGATCTCAATTATCGGTTGGAGGACATTCCGGGTGATGACGTGCGACAAGTCCTGGCCCGGCATACAGTAAATGAATATGACAATAGACATCAAATTCAGCATGAGCTCAAGAACGGTACCGCATCATCGCAGGTCTCAGATGAAGCGGACGAGGAGGAGGACACAGGCAGTTCGCTCTCCGCCCTCTCAGACGAGGATGTGGATCCTCACACAGACCCGGCGTCTTTACAGACCACCATCTCATCACTTCTTCCCCATGACCAGCTTCGGATACAGCAGGATAAACAAAAGGCTTTTCACGAGGGGTGGCGAGAGGGCCCGATCACTTTTCTACCCACGTATAAATACGACGTGGGAAGTGTGGCGAGGTTTGATTCGAGCGAGAAGAATCGCGGGCCCAGTTGGTGTGACCGTATCCTATACCGAACCCGTCATGACAAACTACGATACGAAAGACTGGCCAAAGAAGCTGCAGAGGCCAGGAAACGCGACGATGAAATGAAGGCTAGGGGCGTGGATAAGGCGGTTGCTGACGACAGTGTGTTGTTTGATTATGACCCCGACGTGGACGGTGCGGACAGTGGGGAGGAATATGATCCAGACGGGGATTTGAACGACGAGGCCTCATTCGATTCAGATACCGAGACGGATAGTCCGCTGCAGCTTGAGTCCTACGTCTCGCACCAAGGGATCCTGTCGTCGGATCATAAGCCTCTAGCGGCAGCATTTACGCTGACATTTGACTCGGTGGATCCGCAAATGAAAGCTAAGGTACATCAGGAAGTGGTTCGGGAGCTGGACAAGGTTGAGAACGAGTCCCGGCCCGGACTCACTGTTGTGGTGGACAACCACGGCAGTCAACCAACAAGTGAAGACCCCAATGCGGTCAACTTTGGCGACGTGCCTTTTGATGTGCCCGTCACCCGATCGCTGACAGTCGCCAATACCAGCGGTGTGCCTGCAACCTTCACACTGGAGAAGCCGGAACAAGACGCCTCCAACCGGATACCCTCCTGGCTGGATTACCGGGTTGAGCAACCGCATCATTCCAACTCGGACTCCGAGTCAAAGCAGAAGCTGCCGTCGCACGAGTGTACCCTACACCCCGGGGAACTCGCACACATCGAGATTACAGCATGCGTTCGTGACATCGAGCTGGCGCGTTCACTCAATGGCGCGCAGTTAAGCCTCGAAGAAATTCTCGTCTTACGAGTGGCCTGCGGCCGAGATCACTTCATCTCCGCGTACGGCAAATGGCTGCCCACCTGCTTCGGACGCTCCCTGACCGAACTCACCGTCATGCCTGAAACAGGTGCTCGTAGCCTGACTCCGGTCAAGGCATCCCAAGACCGGAAGGATACCCCGGGTGTGCCTTTGTCGGCTCCTCGGGAGCTGTTTCGATTGACAGAAGCAATATCAGAAATGTCAGAACGTGCCATTGCTGAATGGAGTATGACAAGAGGTGAGGCCGAGGAGGATACACCACCATGGATGAAAGAGCCCCTTGGCTTCGGGTGGCCCTTCGAGCCCGAAACTTGGACCTTAAGAGACGAAGACGAACGGTCGCGTCTAAACTCATGTGCTCGCGAAGCACTCGACACAAACAATGACTTTAGCTCTGTGTTTGCCCCGGAAGTAACTTCCCTTCAGCGTCTTGAAATCCTCAGTGAGACGCTTCTGGCATTTCTCCGGTCCCTGAAAGACGGTATTGTGACCGGCACTGTCTGGCAGAATCTTGACCAGCAGATCCTCTCTCGTGAGAGAGCAAAAAGCCCACCTCTATCCTGGGAAGACTCTCAGGCCTGGGTTCTCGAGAACCTCGCTTTTTCCCCCGCACACAGCGTCTCCTTCACCTTTGTCACCTTCATGTTGGCCCGCATCGCCAACGAAGTCGCCCCTACCTCCTCCATCCCCAACCGCGGCCCCTCCGCCATCTCATCCGCATCATCCAGTGACGAACCGACGCAGAGCGCAACCACACAGAAACCATCCGAGGATGCACCGCCTGCGCCCTCCGCCTTCATCGCAAGCAACAGCTTCCGTCGTAAAACCCGCACCTTCACCTCCTCCATCTCCAGCATATCCGAACCCCCGCTTAGTCCAATGGCCATCCGTCGTCAGGCCGTGGAAACCGCTCTCGCAAATATATTTGCGTCCGTCCTCATCTCAGCCAACGTGCCTGTCCCGTCCAAGGACAAAGATCGACGCGCCCTGGAAGACCGGAAACGGGGTATTATCGAGCCATTTTTGAAGACGATCGGGGTCGATAATAAGGGGCCTTCGGGGGGTGTTTCGTAGGCTGATTTGGATGGATTAAGGACGGAAGGAAGGAAGGGTCTAGTGTATAGTCTTCGTATCATTATATGTATAGAAATTCCACTTTGGATCTCTGATTGATTTTGGGTCTTTTGAGTAGTTTGTTCGGATACAGAAATATGCTTCTAACACCAAGACATTGTCGAGAACCCCGAAAATAAATTGCTCAAACCTAAGTCCAAAATATCGGCATGAAACCAGTCTACCTAGCTCTATTGCCGACTAAATCTCCATCCAAACAAACCCGGAGTGGGCATGTAATAACAAGAAAGTCTTTCTAAACGAGATATCGATGAGACAGAGGACGTATCTGTCGTATTACTACTCGGGAAGGTATGAGCCCAGAAAAAGAACGATGATACAAAAGACGGCGGGATGGGTATAACTCCTCGACCGCCTAGTAGGTGTAGATATATTAGCACCACCGATGAAGTCCGTATAGTCGGCTGCACGAGATTATCTGCTCTCTTCGATGGGATCCAGGGAACGTTGATTAACTGCGTCTTGCTGAGAAGGCACTCGTTTTGATCGTTTCAGGGAGCGTGATTTGTCTTGCGATGCTGTGTCCTTTGCGGGTCTAGGCGCTAGGGATGATAATGAAAATAGTGTGTCTCTAAGATAACGAACGCAGCTCATGGACACATGCATTGGGAGACTGGCAACGGATATGAACACCTGCATGGGCAGTAGAAAGGCCGCGTAGACCCAACTGACCAACTTGAGTAGAATGTTCCGGGGATGTCGGGTGTTCGTGTGATGGGCTGCCGCTGCTAAAGAGACGGCGTCGCGCATCTGGGTTTCGAGGGCTTGAAGACGAGAATCGGTTTGGTAGGCAGTCACCGCGGTGCGCTTCTCGTAGCGTCGAACAGCCCGATTCAAGGCATCGATGTCTGCTTGGAAGGTTTTTCGCACTTCGGTGGCTGCTTGAGTGACTATTGACTGGACGACCTCCGGGTCTGGGGTAGAATGTTGGACTTGACCCGGTGATTTGGCTGAAAGGCGTGCTGCAGCTGTCTCAGCTACGTGGGCTTCGAGTTCCTCGAGGCGCTTGGCGAGATCAAGCATGTCTATTTTGTTTCCCTCGTCTTCAGTCGGTAAGGCGACAATGCGCTGGAGATGGAGAGTTCGCGCCTGCACCATTTTGAGGAGATGGGAGAAAGGACGGATTTCCGATGCTAGTAGGAAAATGGTCAGGTTGTAGTTGGAGACCAGCCCTTCTGAAGGGCGCGACAATCTGGATCTGATGGTGTGCAAGAGCCATGTTCCAACCAACGGAAAAATAAAGCAAGACGCAAGAGCGACAAGTTCATGGATTTGTAGCTCCCTACTAGCCGCAATTGCAGCCGCGCTATCCGAGCGGTTCTGTTCATCGGGACCGGCGGCATTGTCTGGAGTTTTGTGCGGGGGTGGGTGACCATCTGCATCCGACTCCAATGGTAAATCAGGCACGTCGAGGAACCTATCTGCATGGCGGACGGCCTGTGCGGAGCGATACCAATCCCTGGGTGTTGCTTAGCATGCACTAGAATAGGGAAACATAGCACGTGCCCTTACCATGGCAATCGGACAGACCAATTCAAGAATACGGCTGCTAGGATCAAAAGAGTGACATCGGTGACTACGGCGCCTCCGTTTTGGAAAAAGATTCCGGCGACAGCAGGTAGTAGGGCGAGACCCAAGGGTGCCGAATGCCAGTGCGATTCTTCATTTGTCAGGTCAACGTCATTCCTCTTGGCTGCACGTGGAAAAAGTATGTCGTCTGTGGATGACCGAATTGAGTTCCGGGCCTCAGATACCGAGTCCGACAGGGTAGAATTGCGACGCTGCTCTCGAAGGTTGGTGGTACCCTCTGCGAAGGTTGCAGACCGGGCTGAACCTCGATGGCGGAGAGTCATGGAATGGGGAGGATGAACGCGGGGGCTGCGGTCCTCGAAAGGAGAGAGGGAGGGACGGGCAAGCTCTGGCATGGCACAACAGGCACCTGACAACGCGATCACAGGTCACTCATACCCATATCAACGTTACCCAGGAGTTGGTTAGGTGGTTGTGAACCGGGGCAGTGGGAGAAGAGAAATGAGAGAGTGTGTGAGGGAGAGAAAGAGGTGTAAGGCGTGGGAGAGTGGAAGAATCACCCTGTGTGATGTGCAGATCTCCCTTGCCCGCCTAAAGCAAGCCCGGGCCTGTGGAGCCTGGAGCGCGATCCGCAGCCGGCACCCCAATGACGATCTCTCGGGCGCGATCCCTGCTAAGTGGTCAGGCAGTGCGGAGGAAGGACCCGTAGCCGTGATGAGTGACGACAGGGACCCACGCCTAGCAATGCTGGAAACTTGAACTGCAAAACTGGTCCGGAGGAGCCAGTGCCAACTTCTGTCACGAGCAGACGAGGCTCTGGCGCATTGTCCGTCACTGCCCCCAGAGCCTGTGTGAACTGACAGAATTTGAGCTCAAGATGATCGGGAAATGTCCGGTTTCAAGCGGTTCTGAGCCGAGGCTAGTAACTGACCCCGGGCCAGCTGGGAGGCCAGCTGAGAGGGACAACGGTCCGTTTTTCACAGGCTTGGGTCAAGTGAGCCTTTCGTTCTGGTAACACACGCAAGTTTAGAATCCCAACCCTGGGCCAGGTGCTTCTGGAGGTGCCGATGAGAGCCAAGTCGCTAGGCTAGGCTCACATGAACCTCGTCTGGTCTGTTTGGGTGAAGTGCCAAAGTGTCAGACATCTCCAGTCTCATGAACTATAAACGGGGAGAGCAACACTTACTTTCTCGGCAACGAACTGTCCAATTGAGAAAAGAAAAAGGAGATGAGACGACGGTGGCACGGCCTAGCTTCTGCTGAGCTTTTCGCCCTTCCACAGGCTGGCCAGGCAGGAAAGGCGTGATGTGCAACCGGAGGGGAGCAAAATAGAGGCGGCGAAGATGGCGCTGAGTCCTTTGATACCCCAAAGAGGAATGGCCGGGCTCGCGGTGTATCCTCCATCTCCACCATTCCCACCATCACCTCTGCCATTACTGCCATCACTGCCCCTTATTCAACTGCCTGTGTTAGAGCCTATTGGGCCTCCTAGGTCCCTGTGTACATCGACAGGGTGATCGTCACTCTAAAGCCTCTAAAGCTTACTCTACTGGACCAGTCGCCCGGCCGATGCTGTTACAACCCGCTGCAGCGCCTCCTCGATGACCACAGCAGATCACAACACTCGTCGGCCCTTTTCCCAATTTACTTCTTCTGTATCCCTTGAGTCCCTGCAAGATGGTGTCTCATTCGGACCCCACCTGGGTCGACCGTCCATTAACTCTGTCTATTCGAGAGTTTCATCTCAATAAGGCGTCGCTGTTGCTCCTGTCTGTGGCCTGCGCTCCACCACCTTATAACCTCAGATGGCTTTCCTCCCCCTGGCAGGATGAATCCCGCTCATACCTGCTGGTCGTCTTCGTCTAAGCACTCTCTCATCCTGGTATCTGGCCATTCCGACGAGAAAAGATTGGACAAGGTCTGAAAAGCATCCAGTTTCGCCACTTTTCAGGCTCATCTGTTCTACTGATACCGATATAAAGTTGGTATCAGGGATTCAGAATGACTCCAACAGCGGCTCCCCTTTATCCGGAAGCGACACTCGTTCCGGTTCTCTCTTTCGTCTCCATGATTCTCAGTATCATCCCACTGGTAATGCATTGGAAAAACAGAAACTTTCCTGCAAGCAGCCTTATTTGTTGGTACCTGGTGCTCAACCTCTTTAACATAGTGAACGCTCTGATCTGGCCGACGGACGACGTGGACTCCTGGTGGGATGGCAATGGACTCTGTGATATTGAGGCCAAGGTCATGATTGGCAGTTACATAGCTATCCCAGGGACTTTGGTCTGTATTTTTCGCAGCCTGGCCCACGTCCTAGACACTAGCCGTGCGAATCTCGTTCCAACCAAATCACAACGTTGGTGGAATCGAGGGATGGTCCTCTTGTTCTGCGTGATCGCCCCGATGATAGCCATGCTCACGCACTACATCTATCAGGGAGGGAGATACTTTCTGTTTGCTATTGCTGGTTGCCTCAATAGCTACGACCAAAGCTGGGTGACCCTTGCGCTAGCATGGATCTGGCCGCTTATCATTTGCTTGATTGCCGCATACTATTGTGGTACGCTTGATGGAATACATTTGCTATACAAAAGAAAGCTAATCTCATTGCTAGTTATCGTACTGCATCGCCTTGCCAAATACCGAAGCCAATTCGGAGACATACTTCAGTCGGCCAATAGTAACTTGACCAAATCGAGGTTTATGCGGCTGTTCCTCCTTGCCTTCGTCATGCTGTGGGCCATCCTTCCCGTTCAAGCCTATGTTATCTCTTCAAACATAATTCTTACACAGCCGTGGCACCCATACTCGTGGAGTACTCTTCACTCGCCCAACTGGAACCAGGTCATCAAAGTTCCTACGGGGGGACATGTTTTCTACGACCGCTGGATCCCAGTTGCTTCGGGGTTTGTGTTCTGTATCTTCTTTGGGAGTGGTAGGGATGCTTCGAAAATGTATTGCAAGATCTTGGGATTCCTGGGCTTCGGCTACTTCTTTGCTTCTCTCCAATCATCGACAGCAAACGGCTCCCATGCGACAGGGTCCACGGGTAGCCGAGCAAAGTTACTATTCCATAAAACATGGATGACCACAACACGGTAGGACCGTCCTAGAAAGTTCGGATATTGATTCCCGTGCCTGGTTCTGACGGGGTTTTTTTTAGGACACACGTTAACAGCTCTGTTGACGCTGCTCGGTCTACTCGTGACTACCGTGATATTGAAAAGGGCGCGACGTCTCGAGCTACGCAATCGAGGTGGGCATCGTGGTACAGACGGCCCTGGTTTTTGCAAAGCAGAAGTCACTCTTCCAGCCCGGAAGGAATGGTCTCCTTGCACCATATGCCTGAGCCGACAAACACAGTTTCCACCAATGCCTGGGCTGGGGTGAGTCAGAGTCGTGGAAGTAGTGACATTGGAACCACGCCGCTTGCGGGGGATCATATTCGGGTGAAGCAAGTGATCAGTCAGGCGAGTGAGGTGCACGCCTAACGATGCCTGCCACCGTGGCGCAACTTACTCTTAATGAATAGAAGGCCGCGAAACAAAGAACCCATCGGATTCTGTCTATGATTCTTGGCCTTTGATACGTATCTCTCCTGTACACTCTCATTGGACCTTGCCTCGACCAACTGTTTCATGTTTCCAAATCTTACGCAGTAGTCTGTCCATTTCATGTTTACTACTACAAATATTTGACCTAGACTACAAAGACCCGGAGACCAGTCAGCAATTCGCTGGTTTACTGTACCGTAAGACCGCTCAACGTGCTCGAGGCGCGTATATTGCACGCCACAGACTGCCATCTGAGATCTATCTAATTATATCATCTCGAGATGATGCGACACAACGGCATCGGAACAGACAAGTCAACTACATCCTGCATTGCTGGGACCATTAGACCAGTCCAATTGGCCTATTTATAGCAGAACGCGCCACACACGCCGGTCACGCCGAGAGCGGGATGTCATATGAGGGCATATTCTACACAAGAGCAACAATCACTAATACATGTGGTTCGGAAAAGAAATCAAACAGACCGTAGCAGATCGTGATCTGGATTCACCGACAAAGTTTTAAAGCCTGAGGCAAAAATTCGGAGATTATAATACATAGTGGAGCCAAGCAGAACGGAATGAGGCCTGACCTCGAGATACCGTAGCAGTCAGCACGACGAATCGTCCTGCCATGCTTATTATACCACACCTATCATATAAACATGTCTCAGTTGATGTCGGAGGCGGATTCGGAGGAAGCTTCGGGGTTGTAGGGACGCTTAAGGACCTCGACGGCGCCTGCGGATACAGCATGTTAGCATTTCCGCAGCACAAAATTACCCTTAAAAGTCATTGTTTCATCATTTGGGAGGGTACTACTCACGTTGGACAACGCTCAAGGTCGACTGTCTCTTGCCATCTGCGTCCTCCCACTGGCGGATGCTTGCGTCTCCCTCGACGAACAGGAGAGTTCTGGGACGATCAAGTTAGTAATGAGTAAATGATTCGCCCATCTGTCGATGAATAGGCCCCAAGATAGGGTTAATAGTTCATCGACGGACCGGCATAACCGCAGTATGTAGAGAAGTCGAGGAATAAACTTACCCCTGCTGCAGGCCGGTGATGAACTCGCGCTGGCTTCCATCAACGAAAGCCGAAACTCGGAACCAGCTAGTCTGGCGCTTGCTGCTGGGGCCGTGGTTGGAAGCTATCGTGTACTTGACGACCTCCTGACCAGACGCAGTGGCGTGCAGCTCGGGCTGGGCTGCAAGACGGCCGGTGAGCAACAAACGCGCAACGGAACGCGACGAGGAAGAGCTGAATGAACGAGCGGACAAGGCAGCACCGGAAGCGGCGCGGAGAGTGGGACGCAGAGAGGAGGCGAAGGAAGACATGTTGGGTTGATTGAATTGGAATTGACTTTCAAAAAAGCACGGTAGTAGATATCTAGGGACGGGAATGGCGATAGTGAGGATGGGTAGTTTGGATTGTGAAAGCTCACTTTTCCGCGGCACCGCCACATATATCACGTGACAGTAATGCGCCACATCACCACACGGGAGGACTGGCCTCCCAGTAGAGTATAGTAGTCCCTCTGACTCTTCTCTCTCTCTCTCTTCCTCTTTTACTCACTGGCTTTCACCACACGCGTGTCTCACCCAGAAGCTTGTGATAGCTCTAGGTCACTTTCTTCTCAGGCTGTCCTGGGCAGCAAGAAAAAAACTTTTGATTATGCTTATATGTTGCAGGTGCATGCATATATCAATCATAGACTTTGAAGCATGGGAACTGCCAAGCGAGTCAACCGCTCGGTTACGAATCAGTTGGCTTCAGTACAGCTGTGGCCTGTGAGACGTCAGATTGTAACCCATTGGGGGAGCAGCAAGGCACAGATCTTAGGCCCAGCCGTCAAGAGTGCATGCTTGCCCAAGGTTTAACTTGGACCCCAAGAGTTCCAACTTCCTTCGAACTCTGCTCACCGCACCTACCCTGCATCTCTTTATTGGCATGTGCTGGCGGAGATTGGATGGAATCAACTACACCTCAAAGTTTCCGTCAGATGGTTTGATCCAAAACGGTGTATGCCCCGACACCGCTCGACCTCGACAGGAAACCCATCCTCAGACGCTTTCTTTCCCGGCCGCTAACTTTTAGCGCCGCCTATAATAGCTCTCGCTCTTGATCGAACCCGCATACTCCGTATCTAGATACCTCCTAGGATCAAGGACGCCGTGTGGCCGGACTGGTCAATAGTCGCGGAGAACCCCTGGGAAGTGAGAGAGCAGGTCGGAGATTAGGCTAGCACCACGATCCATTGAGAGCACGACGTGATCTTTGTCAGAAATCCCCAATGGGCATTGTCTCCCGGGGCTGAAGCACGATAGGCTGAGAAGATCGCGAGCGAAATTAGATGTGTTCTTTCCTGCAGCCGATCACTCGAACGGCCTAACTATGAGCGGCTAGCAATGCTAGATAGTCCGGGTCAACAAATGGCGACGATCTGTGGTCGCGTCCCTGAATTGTTGCAAGGCAAGTAACTCCGTCGTCTGTGCTCCATTGAAAATCTTAATCTGGCCCGGAGACCACCACGACTAGAGCCATTTTCTTTCGCTCAACATGTCATAGCCCGCCACTGGCAGAGTATGTCAACGCGTTCATCCGTCCTATTGAAACCTGGCCATCGCACGCGTGCATTAATTGCACACCCCCCTTGAGTTCCGAGAGTTGCCAACATCTGATAAATTGTTGGCCTGGGAAAAGCAAATCCACCCTCACACGGTCCTCATGTCACAATTTCGCTGCTTAGAACCAATTGAACAGGTGAACATGCTCGGGGAAAGGGTATCCCTCCCAGTCTACATTTATCAATGGATGCTGTCAACCTACATCGCATGGAGTACCCCATGTTTTACGGACGACCCCCAGTGTCATTGTTTTGCAGGGGAGGATCCCTGCGAAAGAATTTCATTTAGCAAACATGCACGACTATGCGGTGGCTATTGCTTTTGTTGGAGACAGGGAGTGGACCAGCTCGCATATTCCATGCAGCTAGTTCACTCTCGCCATCTTTATTCTCCTTGGATTTTTGATGAAGCAGAGCGTGGCTATCTGACCGGAATCCCCTGGTTCCTAAATCTAAAAAAATGAGCAGTCTTTTCGGATCCTGTGCAAGGTGAAGCTCGGGAATCCTTCTTTTTCTCTTCCTTTTCTTTTCTTTCCTTCTTCATATTTCCCTTCCTATCCCACCGTTATCTTTTTATTCCATCTTCCCTCCCTCATGGCTACGTATAGGTGGTGGAGATGAAGCATTGTGTGATCCACCTAGCAGTCCGTTTGAATGCCCACATCACGTTAATCCACCTTCTTCGCGTGTCTCAGAATTCGTTTGCTAGGAGAACACGCTGATTCTTATAATTGTCTGCGGCCTACATGAGAATTATGTGAAAAGTGGCCACTGAGCCCTTCAAAAGTAGCATTCTGAACCCCACTGCCCTTATATTGAAGCACAGACATCGTTTGGCCAGGAGCTGGCCTATTGGTTACGCTAGCTTTCTTGTGCGATTCGCCCCCTCTGTACGTTCGCCATGCGGTTGCTCCCTGTGCTTGCTCTGGCTGCCTGCCTTGTGCCTAGGTGCTTTGTTTCGGCTGAGATCTCTCTCCCCGAGCGCCATGAGTTGGGAGGCCTCGTAGTAAGAGAGGCTACTCCGAGCACCACAACGGCCACAGAAACTTTTAGCGATACAGCAGCGAGCGTGACGAATCATGCGACGGTAAAGAGCAATTCCACAGCAACTTCAAATGTCACTGCTCCCGCTTCAACCACTGTGGCGTCTTTAAGTACGTCACAAGCATCGAACGGCAAGTGAAACTTTCCTCCGAATGCTCCCACCGATGTTCCCGTAATACTGACCTGCAAAAGATGGCAAGAATTCGACGAATCCTGATGCCCTTCCCATCCAGCCGACAGTCACTCCTGCCCTGGGCATCGGTGGGTTTCTTCTCCTTGTCACGGGAGCAGTTCTTGCACTAATCGGAATTCGCAACTTGAGGTTACTTCCCCATACCGGTCAGCTAGAAGACCTTTAGCTTACAGATAGTCTAGGGTCCAAGTCTTCCTGTCCACTGCTTTTCTGACTGGTCTTGGAGTTACGGTAGGCTCTGGCCTCCAGCCCTGGTCAAGTTCGTTCTCTAATCGTCGTTCCACTAGGTCCTGATTGTCTATGTCATGAGCCCTCCTGTCCGAGTTGCTGTTCAGGGAGCGTATCTCGTTGCTATTTTCTTTACCGGCATGACATTTGGTGCTCTTGCGATTGTATTCAAGGAGCTAACCGAGGGCCTTGGCTGCCTGCTCGGGGGATTCTGCAGTAGCATGTGGCTGCTCTCCTTGAAACCAGGGGGGCTTCTCACAGACACCAATTCCAAAAGCGGGTTCATCGGCGCAATCTCGGTCGCATTCTATGCCATGTCCTTTAGCCACCATACTCGCCCTTATGGGCTGATTGTGTCAACCGGTATCTCGGGCGGTACCGCTGTTGCGCTTGGCATCGACTGTTTTAGCCGGGCTGGATTAAAAGAGTTTTGGCTCTACATTTGGGGTGAGCTGGCTTCCTCTCCTGCGCGAGTAATGTGACAATCTGACATGCATATTAGGCCTAAATGACAATATTTTCCCATTGGGTACTAATACATATCCGATTACCCGTAACATTCGTGTGGAACTCGCTACCACAGTCATCATCGCTATCTTGGGCGTGGTCTCTCAACTGAGGCTATGGAAAGTGGTTAGAGAACGTAGACGGCGAGAGAAAGAAAAGCGCGATGACGAGCAGAGACAGAAAGAGCAATCCGAGGCCGAGCTCGGACGAAGACTGGAAGAAGACAATATACAAGAGCGGAAAGAATGGGAAGCAAAATACGGGGACGCTAAGCCGGCGTCGGGCGAGTCAGAGAGCGCGGACGACACGAAGTGCCATGCCGACGAGGTGGATGCTATGGAGAAGGGAGCTGGTTATGACATGAAGAGCATCGTTAATTCTTCTGACTGCTCCTATCGTTGCTCCGATTGCAGAGAAAGGGAGACGGAAGATGCCGTTTCAGACGCGACAGGCGCGAGAGAAGGTGCTCATGACCGGGAACAGACTGAGACAGCCAAGGAAACATCCGACAAGATACAGGAGGAAAGTGGCTCACTTCCCATCAAAGTCTTTGATGGTGCAGCTGCAGCCCAAATCAAAGACGATAAGAGCTCTGATATGACGGCCGTCATTGGTTCAGACACTGCAACGATACGCTCAAAGAGAGCATCCGGGGCATTTTGCATGCCACGAGGTTCTCGAGGCAACGGCGTGCCCCCTTCTCAGTCCCGGGAGGTCTTGGGATCCGTTGACGATGGTACTTCATCTGTGCATGGCACCATAGATGAGGGTGGCAACCCAGATTCTAAGTGCCTTGAAGTCCAGGGCGAGAATCTCGAGATGACGAAGGAAAATCCCGAATCAGATGAGAAGCATTCTATGGCCGACGCTGAACGACAGCAGCCAGGGCAAGGGTCTCATGACAAGCAAACACCTGTGGTCAACAATGTGGACAAGGCCATTATCCCCAAGGACAACGAAGGGCAGTCAATGGCAGCCAGCACAAAGAAACCCGAGAAGGATGATGCCAAAGAGGGCCTCCATACGCATTCACATAGCCAAGCTTCGGAAGTAGCATTGATTGAGGCGAATCATGGGACTGCTGGTCAAGATCCAGATGTAGTCGCAGGCGAAGGAAAGACTGAAGGTCTCTCATCACCCTCAGATGAACCTCCGGTCGAGCCAAAGGACGAAGAAGGCAGACTGTCCACACACGTCTCCAATAACGGAGACACCGAGAAATCCGAACCAAAAGATCACGACCGCGATCAGCTCCAGACTGGAAACCCTGGAAAGCCCGACACTACCCCTGATGTGCAAGATCGAAGACCCCGTGGAGAACCAAGTCCATCACATGCATCGTCTCAAAACGAAATCGGAAAGAAACGAGAAGATAGCCGTGGCAAACGCAAGTCTCCAGAGCCGCAACCTAGAATCGAACAAGAGCCGGTGAAAGAAGAGCCCCCGAAGCTGAATGAAGAGACGGTGAAAGATCTTCCAAGGCGGACATCAAGAGTAGTCCAGTCCTACCGCACAAACGAATGGGCGAAACACCTGGCCGATGCTGAAGCCCCCGAGCTGGAACCTATCAAGCCAATCGAAGAAGAACAACCAGAATGTCCCCCCGAAGTCGAGGAAGCCGCAGTACCGGTCAACGTACTGGAACTATTGCAGACACCGCTGAATGCCCAGCCTCCGCCCGCTGTAGAGCCTCGCGTCCGAGATCCACCAAGCAGGCGGAACAGTCGTCGGATCTCCAGCGGCTCTCAGCTGCATCCCTACTCCCACACCGATCAATCAAAGAAAAAGTCGTCCCAATCCCCTCCTCCCACCGCCCAACCACGCTTCAGCAACGGATACTCAATGAGCGGACTGATCGGAAATGCCACAACACTAGAACAACCCCAAGAAGACACCGAGGCCACAAAGCCACAATGGAAAGGCCCCGCCCCCTTAATAGCAGTACGCGAAGACATGATGCGAAACCGGCTCTCATCCTTCTCCCTCAGCATGGATCCTTTCGCGCGAAACAACCCAGGACACCCACCACCCGAAGGCTTACGACGATCATCTACCTGCCGAATCCGCGACGAAGCAGACGACATGCCACTCTCGCAACGTCGCGCAATGCTCTACCAACAGACCGTTCCCAGCCCCAGCCCACTGCCAGCACATACCCCCTACTCAACATCAAGACGGAACCTCGGCAACGGACCATCCCCGACCAACACACCAGCAGCCATGGCTGCATGGCGCGAATCCGTCCAAGAGGACCTAAAGGAGAAGCGTAACCCGCTTGCCAAGCAGAATAGTTCCATGGTTTCTACAGGACACGAGCGCAACCCGCCTGCTTATAGTCAGGCGCAGAGACACTCGATTCATATTGGAAATGCGATCGCTGAAGGTATGCAGCGCGGGGATATGAGTGACTTGCACCGGGAAGCTATGCGTCGGATGCAAGCTAAGGCTAATAAAAATGTGAAGGAGGCGTGACGTCGTACGGGGGTTGGGTACCCGCCGTTTGAGGTAGTTCGTTATATCTGATATACGGGCTGGGAAGAACGGAAAGATAAGACTCCTGTCTCCGGTGTCTTTCACGGACCGCGCCTAGTTTAAGCAGGGATGATAGACTGGCTGGCTCATGCATATCTACACGGCCATCAGTCTTCTACAGGTTAATCAAGAGAGGTAAATAATAGTAGTCATGACAAGGTCATAGGTTCGCATAGATACAGTTGCTTTATTTGAAGTCTTATTGTTTATCTTAACCCCGAGCACGCTGGATATGTACGTACCGAGGCGAAGACACCAACATCACCGCCATCCCTCCTCGAGGGTATTGTTTTTCTGAGTTTTCAAGGGCGAGAAAAGCCTCTGCTTCCCCAGAACGTCAAGAGTCTGTCTGTATGCAGAACATGAAATCAAGTCCCCGCGCCAGCCACAAGGCCCAAAATCATCAACAACCTGTGTATATATGTATGATAGGCCAACGTAAAACACAGGAAAAAGAGAAAAAAAAGAAATTTGAGTACATGAAACCTCAAAGCGCCTGTGCTGAATGCAAATGGTATAAACCGTGTCGAGTACCCAGAATCAATTTCCCTTCGTGGTCCAATGAACAAGACAAAAGATCAATCAATCAATGTTTGTTGAAAAGAAGAATATGAAAAAAAAAAAAGTTGAGAAGATGTATGTTGATTTGAGAGAAAAAAGTCTAGTATTGCGCATAGGTAGGAACAACCCGAACCGAACCGAACCGGTCAAGTGGTGGGTGGGTGAGGGTAAGAAGTCTTAGCGTGATTTTCGTTTCTTGTCGGGAGTGAAATCCAATGGTTTGTACGCCAGTCCCTTGGCGCCCGTCATCCGGATCCGTTGCTCTGTTCGAGACAATGTACGACCGAGTCCGAGGTCTGTATCTGGAGCAAGTGAGACCTCGTAGCCGTTGACATATGATTGGGGTGATTGGCTCCTGGAAAGAGCAAGAGAAGGTGATAAACTGCTCCCGGGGCTGAAATGAGAGCTTCGCGGTTCATATGATGTAGACCAGCCATCCAGGAGCTTTGGTCCACTCCGGAGGGACTCTGCCGCAATACGCGCAGCAGATAGAAGGAGCTCATCTTCGTCAACTTGGACCGACTTTGGTCCCTCGGGCTTTGGTTCCGCTGGTTTCCTGGCGGTCAAGGATTCGATCTGCTCGAGGATTGGAAGTTTCGGCAGGGGCTTCGTCGAAGCAGAGGCCAGGGATTTCTTCTGCGAAATGGGGACTTCTGCCTTTGGCAACTTGTGCGATTTGGGTCCGCTTTCCAAAGGGGCGTGTTCCTCTGGTTCCTCATGAACTCGTTTACGGCCGTTTGATACGATCTCCCGCCGCTTATCAGCGGCTTCCTTCAATGCCGATAACCACGCATTGCGGCGCGAAGTGATGTCGGATGCTGAAACCATCCGTTAGTGAAACGGCAAACATATGGGGGCCAAGAGGGCAGAGCTCACTAGAAGATGACTTCTCATCAGGAGTCTCAATGACAGGTATATGGTCTGGTTCAACTTCGACCGGTTGGATTGAAGCCTCCGTATCTACAGGAGCCTCCACTGCACCCGATTTCTGCGCAAATGAAGGAATTATAGGTTCCAAAGCGACAGGGCCGCTTTCAACAGATATGTGGTCTTCTTCGGCAGACGGCTCAGGGGGGTCTTCGTGTTCCAATGGAAGAGCAGCATGATCATCTGAGCGAACCGATGGTTTCTCTTGGAATAGTGAATTACCAACTCGGGCTTGAGGCGCGGTGTCCGACTGCGCAAGAGGCGCGGGGGCGGCGAAAAGGGGAGTCGGCTCTGCATACTTATTAGGATTGATGAGGAAGACAGAGGTCTTTCCGAGAGACATACCGGGTTTCTTCAGAGTTGATACCGACGGAAAGACGGATGACGACTGGGATGGGGCAACCCCGAAAGTTTGTGGGGCTGCTTGAGGTTGCTGAGCAGGAGCTTCCGCAGAGACTGTGTTTTGTCCAGGAAAGCGAAAGATAGAGTTGGGTGTTCCTGATGACAACGGCGCCTTAGCACTGTCAAAGATGCTAGGAGCAGGCTGGCTAGCAGCTGGCACATCAACTGGGTCGGGCTTGGCATCGAAAGAAAAAACCGAGGGACTGGGTAGTGACGTGGAGGTCGTGTTAGGTTGGGAGGCGGTCGGGAACTTGAAGGGCGTAGAAGAGAATAGAGGGGCGTTTGCTTTGTTGTCGGACGTGGCAGGTTGCGGCGCAGCCGTGAACATGGAAGTCGGTTGCTGGTTAGCCGGCGGAGGAGTAAAGGCCGGAGCTCCTTCCCCTTGAGGGTTCTTCGGCAAGTTGAATGGCGACGTAGCAGGGGAGAAAGGACTCGGCGCTGCGGTTGCAGGGGCTGGGAAGACACCGGCTGTGCTACTGGACGGGAAAAGAGATGAGGATGCCTGGTGTTTTGTCTCAGACGGTTGTGCATTAGTCGGCGGTTGAGCAAAAGAGAAAGGGTTTGGACGATCAGGCTCCGTAGAAGCTTCCGGCTGCGGGAAGCCGGCGAAGGCGTTGCGAAGGCTGGACGCAGAAGCCGGCGAATCGCGCGGGCTCTCGTCTTGCGACGGGATCTCGGCCATTTGAACGTTGTATGACATGGAGACGTTCTCATCGTCGCTCACGAAAAGAGAGTCGTCGTTGGTGAAAGGTCCCGGAACGGGGGCGGGCAGCGCAGGAACGCGCTCGGACAGATGGGATACGTCGATCATTCCAAGATTCGCAGATTCTTTGATGTTGAGTCCGAGGATGATGGCTGCCAGTGTTCTCCCAGCACGCTTCGATTCAACATGCTTTTCCGAAAAGGAGTGATCCGACGATGGCTGAAAGGCTGTAATTTAAAGGGTCAGTCGAGACTTGGTACCAACGTGTGAAAGAAATGCCCAGCACATGGTCTGCCATCCACTGTCCGAAGCGCAAGAATTGTCGAGAGTAACACGTACCGACGGAATCAACGGGACGGCTGCCCCAGTCGAGATATAGGTCGCCATTGGCGTTCTCGGCGAATTTCAAATCCTGTTCCTCGCAAAACTTGATGGTCTGCTCATAGTCATCCAAACAAAGTACGGCAGTCAACTCATCAACCGTCCATTCTTCGTTCTTATGCTGTTGGGAGGCAGGATAGCGACAGTATCCTTTCCAGATCGAACGAATAGCGGTCTGTCGCATATGGTTGAAATATATCTCAGCAACACAAGCCATGAGATATGAGACACCTGGTGAGTCTATCATGTTGAAGAATCGCGAATAGAATCCTTGCGCGATGGCGTTTGGTCGCTTCGAATCGAGCGTACCCTGATATTCCCACGTGTTACCCGCAGCAGCAAACAATTCCAGCGCTATCTGGACGCGGGGTGAGTTCCTCAGTTCGGCAGGCCACTTTTGGACACGAGCTTCCAAGTCTGGCCGCTGGTCGTGGATCGAAAAGATGATGTAGTAGGCCCGGAACTCATCTTCATTGGGAAATGCGACCCGGCCTCTGTTATCATCGTAGTAGTACATCAACGAAAGCATGGTGTTGTTCAGCTGCTCGCGTTCCTGATGGCGATCGAAGGGCTCGTCATTCGCAGGGCTCGAGAGCAAATGCAAGGACACGATATGGAATCGAGCAATGCGCTCCAGGCATGTTACCGCCATTTTCACGTGGTCCTCCTGCGTGAGCTGCTGTACGGAGAAGTCATTCCGAATTGAGCGAGTCCGGTCCCATACAAACTTATGAATGAGCCCCAGAGGTTCGGGGCCATCAATGACGTGCCGTATCAGGTAATTCATGGTCTGAAGAAGCGTTTTCGGCGTTCGAATATCGGAGGGGAGCTGTTCGTCATAGCCGGCCGCGGATCGTCTGAATCGTTTGAGCATCTTTAATTCCATATTCTGTAGCGAGTTTGTCGCAGGATGCAGATACTAATCGCATAGTGTCAGTGCTGCTGGAGACTAAGAGTGAAACACAGGAAGCGGTACCTTTTCACTTTTATCGACCATCTTCTGAACTATACGTTCCACCCTTTCGAATTCAGGACACATGCTTGTGCAGGTGCCCACAGGCGTGATTGCCTGATTCAGAGACGTCGGCTGGTTAGGATCCGCCATCTGCCCTTCCCTAATTGCCTTCTCGCGCTCTTTCGTTCTATCGAGCTTGAGCTGTTCCATTTATGAGTATCGATTAACTTGCCTTTCTCGAGGTATCCATGCTCAAGCATTTCAATCACAACTGACCTGTTCGTAGCGCTCGGTGTAGCTGCTGAGTAGCGAGACATCCTCCACAGGAACGTTGGATCCAATTGCTCCAATCGACGATTGTTGGGACGGGAACCCCGTGAAGCTGTTCGCGGCGGGCCCATCTAAGCTGGGAGCACCGAACGGCGAAGGCGATGCTTTTCCAAACCCTGCAAAAGGCGAGCTCTGCTGCGAGGCCTGCGCGGCAAACGGGGAGGAAGCAGGAGCCGTCTGCTTCAGGGGTGCAAACGGCGAGGGAGTCGATCCAGCAGACCCTGGCTGTGAAGCCGACTTGTTACGCCACGAATTGTTCGCTAAGCCGGCCCCTCTTCCCTGGCCCCTTCCAGCTCTTGTTGCCGACGAAGCACCTCGTCCTCGACCACGGGGTTTGGTATCGCGGGGCGGATTCGTGTTGTTGGCTTGAAACGGGCGATTAGCTGATCCACCGCGTCCACGTCCTGCTGAACCGGCTGGCCCATTTCTCTGGCCGAGGCCGGCAAAGGGGTTTGGCGGGCCGGCCATTTTGCCGTGAACAGCTGAACCGTGGACGAAGCTGATTGCCTTTCAATGGTGTAAGCTCCAGGCGTTCGGTGTTAAATCGCGTACTGAGTCCTGAGCGAGGATTGTTTGCGGTCAACGAGGGTCCTTGACGAGAGACCTCTGGGGTAACGGGGTGGGTAGGAAGATCGTAAAACTAAAGAGCGCTGTCCCTCCAAGACCATTGGCACGCGCGTAACGAAAAAGTTAGCTTCGTAACGATATCGCATGATACTACATCATGTTGATGAGATCATGAGTGATGAGAAACACTAAAGTGGGAGGGAGTGGCAGAGAAGAACTCCAAAAGCAGACGCGCAGAATAAGCACGATGATTGATGCTATACCTTGAAAGTGCCGTCCTTGGTAGGGAGACTTTATCGGTCGCAGTCGATGGATGACGAAACGGCCGCGGGCTGTGCGAGTTCGTCGATTCTTAACTCCACGAAGTCGGGGGACAGCGATATGGACAGGGGCGGTCGACTTGGAGTACCCGAGTGAATGAAACGGGCACAATTGTTGGACCAAAAAGCTGCGAAACGGGTGAAAGAAGGACGGAAGAGACCCGGGAGGATCTGGTGGGCTGGAAGCTGGGGGAGGAGAGGATGGCATGTCTTTGGCCGCAGCGCGAAGCTCCGATTCCGCGGCGGGACAGATCGATGCATGCCAAGCCCGCTCAAGCGCAAGCGCCACTGCCGCGCGGTCGACGGAATTTCCCTACATTATTTACTATTACATTGACAAAGGGTGGACAAATACTACGACCGGGTAGGGAGGAATCATTGAAACATGCTCAATATACCTGAATAACCAGTGCAATCCTTTCCAAGACCACATTATTACTCCACAAACCGCTAGAACGCTGTTGTCACATGTATCCGCCCTCGCAAGAGTCCAAGTCCATACAACACTGGCGGCTTTCGATAGTATCCTTCAACAACCAAAAATATTTTATTTTCCACCTCGAGCGCCCGTGCTTCCAAAGTCTATTAACCCACAAACGATAAGAAAACCCAAACAAAAATGTGCCTGGAATGGGCGAAGGGGAGGGCACCCGCGGGGCCGCTTCTTGTTCCCCAAGCTTTGACCAGGCATGCATCGTCAACCAGATAGAGCGGTACCAGCCGTGGAACCGACGCACACATATATACCTTGACACAGAACGTATATAGTAGGAAGAAAGTCCCGGCCAAGAGGCGGCCACCGCGGAAATGAAAGCGCAGGCGGCACGTCATCTCCTGGCGCTGGAGACAGAAGAGAAGGAGAGAAATGATCGCAAATAACAAGCTCGTCATGGTCGTACGTATCGTTAAGATCAGAATGATCAAGAGACTGTTCTGTCTGGCCAAAGCAACCAATGCGCAACTGGCCGATCACAATTGATCAACACTCTGGTGACCAAAGTGTGGATGGCTCAAGGAGCCAGTGCGGAAGAGAGACCCTCTAGAGCTGGGTGGTTCCATAAAGGTAGTATGGTCGCGAGGGAGCTCAGTAAGGTGGTCAATGTCTTCGGCATTTGATCCCATATGGTAGTGCATGCGGGGCTGAGGGACGGCATGGCTGGCCGCGGATCCGAAATCCAGAGGGCCAAATAGATCCTGTCGGAAAGATGACGTCCAGGTATCATACTGGCTGACCGAGTGTTGCATTGGCATCGCCGCTGGACGGTGCTCCACGGTACTAGCATCGGGAAAGGGCGCTTGCGTCAGGAAATCATATGAAGCAGTCTGCTCAGTCGGTGTGATCATTGCAGGAGTCGTAGGTGGTTCGATGAGAGCATTCGAGTAGTCACCGTGATAGTCGCTCGATGGAGCGAAAAACGTTCCATCGTGCCTGGCTGGCTCTCCAAAGCTTAGAGATTCCGGCAAGGGGAAAAGCTGATCTCTTTCTTCTCCCATGGGCATAGGGCGAGATACCGTCATGTCGCGAGGATCCATGGTGTAAGGGGGTTGTACTTCCTCAACCGAGGGGGTCGGGGTTATGGCCACTTCTTCCAAGTTGATGGGCTCTTCTGGCTCGAGCTTGGGCTCAGGCTCGGCGACCGACTCGGCATCTTTGTCGCCCTTAGGGTGGGCCTCGCGGTCCATCACATAGACGACTGTCGAACCATCTAGTAAGGGTTAGAGTTAGTCCTCTGATCAACGTATGAACTTCCAGAGGAGTCCTTACCCACTTCACCCCGCTCATATCTTTCCTCCAATTTCCGCACCTTGCATATCTCCTCGATAATCGAGAACTTCTCTTGTTCTTTTAGTTGCCTGCGACAGTCGAACGCGATCTCCAGAAGCTTGTCGGCAGTGATTCCAATCTTTCTCAGTTTGCGCACGATATGAACCAAGAGCTCGACTCTCTCTGTTGGATCGGGTCAGTACTTATGTCTCACAGGAAAGCTCCAACTGCAACCACTTACCCTCCTTTTTCAAATGATCCGGCTCCCTGTGCACCACACGAGCAGGCCACCACTCAGGCTTCGTCTTCTCCGGATCACCCTTAGAGCCGGGAGGGGCTCCAGGCTTAGGCCGGCCTCCGTTATAGGGGTGCCTCACTTGCTTGCGGGGTTCAATGACTTTGATGAAGGCCTTTGCAACGACGCGGCAGTTGACCTGCTGAAAGTGCCGGAAGGAGATCGTGTAGTACTGTTCCACTCGCTCGGAATCACCGATCTCAAGCGGGATTCGGTTCACTCCTGCACTAGACGGGAACTCTGTGAGATCGGGCTGAGGGTTCTGCATAACCGGAACTGGATTCTGAGAGTGAAGTCTACGTCTCTTTCCTTGGCGCTGGCAAGCTGGCTCCTCAAAGCGGTCATAGCTTAGTGCGGTCGGGTTGATGCCTATAGTTTCTCGGGATTAGGGAACCGCTCTTCAGTGACAGCTCTGCGAAGAATTTAATGTGCTTACTTTGAAGCGTAGGCTTTTGGTATCCAACTTTTGCGCCAAGGATCTCCAGGAAGTTGTCGCGCACTTCGGAGGTGAAGATGGTGGTGTGATGCTCTTGGATCGAGGGAGATTCGGCCACCCTAAGCTTGCCCATGTTGTCCACGTAGATCAGAGCATAGTGCGTATAGGGCAGGTTGACGGATAGGCGCGAGGGAGGAAGCATGGTCTTTGATCATATGGTGTTAGCACATGAATTCGACCCCCAAGTCTCGTTACTCACAGGACTAGTCTCCCAACCCGCGCTATCGTTTTTCATTGAGGACGAGGGTCTCTTGCCGAGCCCTGTCCTCGGAAGAGGAGTGTTGAATACCATGATTATCTTAGGGCAAAGTCTAAATCAAGTTCAGGAAGCCCGTATCGAGTGACGGAATCGTGGCACAGTTCGGCTTTATGAACACAAGTATGAAGTCGAAAAGAAAACCGGCTCAAAGCATACGACTTTCAGGAATGAAAGCGCACGGGTTGCTGGGTGATCGTGGAAGCGCCTTTGATTTGTGTGAGTCCGAGACGTGTGAAAAAGGTGATCTCTATTGCGAAGATCCAGCGAGCGAGTATAGAACGTGCTGCAGTGCCACGGGTTTGGTGATGATGGTGCACTGCCAACTTACGGGGGTCAGCCAACGGTTTTATCTTTCTGACAGCCACTATTGAGGCAGGACTGGACATTGAGCTCGGGTGTCGGGAGGCATCCAACATGACCACCAAACTTCCAGCTGGGCTTGATATCGGAGTGGCATTCCAGCCATACGGATTCCAGATAGTATGACACTATCACACAAACATCCACCTCCCGGAGAGAATCGGGAAAGGGTTGCATAACAAGCAGCAACTCACCTTGAAGCAAGAGCAAACACCTCTGGATGATTGGCAATCCGTGACTGGATGTGGTATAGTAGACCTTGCAGGGAAGCTGCTAGTAACCGAAACGGGCGTGCTGAAGAGATGATCGAGACCCGAGAACCCGTGAGGAAAGGTGACACCAAAGTACTTCCGCCGTTGCGCCGGGATGGGGATGGATAAGGATGGTGACACAAAGATGTTGGTGTGGAAGGTGGATGTATGTCCGGGTGGCACAAAGGGTTTCCAAGAGATGAAGCAAGCAGGAGATGTGCAGGCCACGAATGGGGAAGAGAAGTGATGAGGAAAAGAGAAGTCGAGAATGGGCAAAGGATCTGGATGCTCCAGGCCCTTAAGTATAAAGCCAGACGAAGACGAGAAGGGCGCGGACTGGACTTTTTTTTGACTGGGGACGTCTCAGGTTTCCCAGCCCACCAGCGTACCTGCTAGATAGCGACTGATGGATCGAGATTGAATCTACGACAAAAGAACCCCAACCCACTTGAGCTGCATCGGGGGCCCCCCTCCTCCTCCTCGGGCTGTCATTCAATCCATCCCGATTTGGCATCCCAGCAGCATGGATAATCCTTGAATGTATCAAGCCGAAACACTAACGGACAGCTCCTAGAAAAGCATGGATACACAATCTACCTACGCATCTGCCGCTGTGTGTTTTTGGTAAGGCCGTGCAGTAGGGGCAATGATTATTATGATTCCGATTTTAAATATTATTATTACTATTTCCTAATTTAATTTTCGCCCTCCGCATATTTGATTTTCCCGTTTAAGCGTTATTTGGATTTAATTTTCGGGCGTGGGAAAACCTTTTTTCTTTTTTTTCTTGTTTTTTTTTTGTTTTTATTAATTTTTGGCCGAAAATGATTTTGCTTCCGTCCCACCCTCTGCTGCCTCCTACTAAGACGTACTTACATCGCGAGGGTTAAGTACGTACTTTACTCCGTAAAGTACCTTACTACGACTATTTGTAGATCGACCACCCAGTCGGGGCTGTGGCAGCCCAGGGCTTTGTTCGGAGCGGGCCACTCAGAAAGAACCCGGTGGCGCCTCGATACTAATTGATGGAACTCCACCACCAGTGAACTGCAAAACTGTAGATGCGACAGTGGTTTCCTTCAGAATGCTTGACTTCGCGGTCCCTGGAGCCATCTGAGAATCATCGGTAGCTATCTACTCGGCACAACCACTACTACAACTACTGAATACCCGCCAGGTCTCTGGCGCGGGTGGTGATCATTCAGGTTCGCTACTAGTGCCGGGCAGCTGAGCGGGGGGGGGAGGGGGATGACTTGCTGGTTACAAGTTCGTACCCATCCTACTACTAGAACTTGAAAGTAACGGCATCCCAAAGCGAGAAAGGAACAAAGCCCTCATAATTTCTACGATTGCCATCCCGATCTTTGATGCCTACCTCTGTAAAACGACCAGTGCTAGCATAGCGATGAGGGACTGACTTAGTCGGGCCACTAGCGTTGAAGTTGGCTCAGGAGCACTCTTAACCGCCACTTCAGGGTAGAACGTCTACAACCGCCAGAGCTGGGTGCCTCCCGTAAGTACTTACTTCAGGGATAGGCTTCCCGGAACGCCGATTCAGCGCGGGACTTTTGGCACCCCAAGGAATCGCCATGATTGGTAGATCTCACACCCACCAAACTGGAACCGGTTTTCTTTCCAGTGACATACTTACTTAGTATCGCTCGTCATTTCCACCATGTACGGAGTACGGAGTATGGTAACAGCAGCTCTTCCTTCTCGTACCTCAACTCGAGTCTGGATGGGCTACGTCCTTGAAAATGACAGTGTCAGTGCCAGTGTCAGTGCCAGTGCCAGTGCCAGGGACTGGAATTGGTGCTCTGAATTGTCCGTGCCAACGCAGTTATCAAGATACCGCAGTCGGCGCAAGGTGGAAGTCATGGACCGTCGCATGCCATACACACACACACACACACACCAGAATCGGCCCTAAGCCACGAAAAACCCCCTTAATTAACCTCGTTGAATGGCTTGCATGTTGTATGGCGAGACGTAGACCCAAACACGCTCGGGAAACACAAGAACCCGGTTACGCACAGGCCGCGCATATCGTCAGGGCCGTCCCACACAGCTCACGCTTGGGCCAGACAAATAGAGAAAATCCCATCAAGCGCGGAGTATACAAGGTCTGATGTTCTGGAGCCCTACACCACATCACCTGCGATGCTGTGCAGGGTAATAGACCTTCGAAGTATACATGAGACAGATGGACGAGGCACATTGTTGTCCAGGAGACAGTTCTGGATACTATATCCGGGAGGGGTGCCCGTCATCCAACGCCACGATCATCGGAATACTTCCAGGAGCATCCGGATTCTACTGCCGACGTACTCCGTACATATGTACCAGTCTATCTACGCTCATTTATGCGCAGATGAAACAGATGTACGTGAATGCTACGTAGACTCCCCGTCTCGCCCGTGATGATCCAATTCGGACTCGCCGAGTCGCCGCCGTGGTCAGCTGATCGCCTCCTGAGCATTTGTAGGAGTCCATACGGAGGACTACCGTGCATGCGATGATAAGGAGGTTGGAAGACGGATTAAGCTTCAAGACGAGATTTGTTCCTAACTGAGGTTGGGTACGAAAGCGCTGAAGGTCTGAATGGTCCTATATTGTCCCTCATACTATGGAGTATATGAACGCAAGATCATTGTGTGTACGACCTCCAATCTAGCCGACCAATCCGGCCTGATAGCTAGTACCGGGATAAGTACGAATAGAATACACCGTAGAGTCTTGGGTACTACCAAATTACGATAGACGAAAATTGTGAAGAACCAAAGGGCGGATCTGAGGCGATGTGCCCCGAATTAGTGGCTCTGGGAAGTGGGCCAATAGCAAGCCGCGGAAGCCACCCATCCCAGGACGATCTACCAAGTGGGCGAAGTTCGGGCTTGCGCATGGCCCAAGGGACTGGAGACGGTAGAGGAAGCGTTTGACTTTTGGCGGCAGACTGGCAGGGAGAGCTTTCTCGGGCCGTGTGGATGTCCACCAGCATCTCGAACTATTGACGGGAGCCTGAAGTACGTACTTACTACGGCGTACGTAGTCCCTACTGCGGTGGGGAAGAGGGCTGTATTGCTACCAAAATGGCAGAAACCAATCTAACTATAACGCCTAGCGTACAAGGTCTGGCAGTGGAAAATCTCCGATTGTTGGGGTATGGGGACCGGAAATATAGGAGTATTTGGAATTCTCTAGATCGCATATTAACCTAGGGCCACAGCGGCCCCTCCACCAGGAGGTTAGTAAGAATGATGTGCTTCCTCAATCTACGGAGTATCTATCATTTATCTATCTAGTATCTACGGAGTAGCTATGTCTTACACAATCAAGCCCTTGATGACCCCACCAGCACTCAACAATACCTGCCGCAGACTCCTTTAGTAACACGCCACTTCTTGCCTGGACAAAGAAAGCAGAAAGGATGGCGTCACACCAAATCTCTACTACTTCCTTCTTACGACTAACGAAGTACATTAAGCGAAGGTTTGAGTTGCCCGGGCTGATCCCCCTCTATCTGCGACGACCCAGCCCCCAGGTACCTGAACCGTGGAATTGGCAACGACGATAAGAGGTCCCGAGGTGGTGGCTTCACGTCAGATCCGCGACCCAGAAATTCCCTTAGGGCGAATCCAAGACGAGTCCCGCCCGAGACTTTAATCTAAGTTGGTGGTGGGAGGTACTTTTCACCACCGCGCTTCAGATTGTGGTTCGTCTGTGCACTTGCTATTCTCGGAATCCCGCAAAGTCAATGCTTTCGTGCTTCTTGGCTAATGATGTCCAGTGCGGAGTACCTCGGAGTAGAGAGCATCGTTGCAGTCGATGACGGATAGACATCAAACAAGTGCGCAATGTAGCACTCCTTCATCGAAAGAAAGTACGGATACTGTTTGCCCAAAAGCGATGTTTGTGTGGTCCTCACCTACCGAGGGTGGCTGTCACCGGGAACCTTGAGCGACAGTCTGCCAGGATCATATGCGAGCAAAAGGACGATGTATGTCAGGGACAAACAAATGCGGCATCCATCTTATCTCCTCACCTATGGCAAACAGCGGGCAATCGGGACTGAGCAATGAGAAGCGGCAGCCGCGCTGGATACTCCGTCTCCGTGGGGAAAGATCTTCACGAACCGGCCTGAATATTCAGTCATCTTGATAAGATAGAGTGACAGGAGATGAGGACGCTGTTTAGCGAAACACCCGGCATGGCATCATCATTTCCGCTGGCGACCCTCTGGGTGACGAGGAACGGGCCCGGAGACTCTCCGCCTGGAAAGTTGTCCGAAGTGGTCCGTGGACCATACCCCATGGTCAGTCCGCTCGACTGCCTGGCTAACACGTCCCTACCTACTTCTTTCACCAGGACCGACGAGCTGAACACTAACTCACTAAGTCATCGTGGGACTAATCCCTGCCGGCGCGGTTCTCGGAAAGTGACCGCCAGGCGGGCAGGTGACCCCTTTCATTCCTCCTGACCGGCTGACCCGAGTCTAGACCCCGTGGAATCGTAATAACGCCATCCCCGAAACCTGGGCTGCTTTCGCTGCCATCATGTTAATCGCAGTCGATGCTATCGACGTTCGCAACGTGGCAGCGGCAAGCGCACACGAGCCACGGAGCCTTGCATTGAACGGTGAGCTCCCACGGGCCATAACGACAGGCAGAACCGGTGGGAGC